CCAGGCCCCGCACTGGGGCCGCGATGCTTAGTTTTTCCGTCGGGATCAGCTCTCAGACAACCGAGGCAAATAGGTCGAACACTCGACCCAAAACGACGCACATCGTCAGGCGAAGCGATGTGTTGATCGCAGTACTCGTCCTTGCATATGAGACACCTCACAAGTCCGTGTCTCCCCCCTCTTCCTCTGCATGCGCGGCATCTAGGAAACTGATCGCTGCACTTGAAACACGAGTTACAGTCATGGTCAAAGCAGTCTTCGCAGACTGACTTGCCGCAGCTTCGGCATGGATAGCGAGGTTCCCGATGCTGTGGATGCCCGAGCTCCTCATGAGCACACCTGGCCCGGTTATCAGGGGCAGCGCCGGCAGCCCGAGCAATGGCCCTCGTTCTAGAGGGATCCCTGCCGAAGATGGGGGCTGATGGTGATGGTGGGGGTGGCCCCGAAGGAGGTGGAGGTGGAGGAGGCCTCGCCGAGCTGACGGTGCGAGCATCACGAGGAGGAGAACCTCTAGGAGCCCTTCCCTGGGTTAAGGGAGCAGTGTCTCCAGATTTCTCCCATGATCCCGTTCCGGCGGTCGAACCAGCGCCAGCACTTGAGGATCCGCAGGCAGCAAGAGGTTGCTCCTTCAACTCAGCGATCTGCATGTTGATCTCATTGACCCTCAGCACAAGCTTCATAAACTGCTCTTGCATGTCCCTCGGATTGGGGCCTAAGCTTTTGTCATGAAGGTCCTTGACGCACCTAGCAATGCGGGACAATTGAAGCTTGAATTCTTCCTGTTTCTGTGAGTTCTCATTGAGGGCTCCGGATACCCTATCACTGAACTGCTTCAGGTCGGTCGCAGGAACGAGATGCTGGATATACGTCTCGACGTTCCCACGGATGGTTCTTTCTCTTGAGATGGTTCCCTCAATGTCGATGACACTGCGAGAGTTCGCCTCAACTTCGTCTTTGATTTTCCGAACCTCAGCCTCAAGGGCCCCGATCTCAGAAAACCTAAGAAGCTGGACCTTGACGTTCTCAAGTGATTCGGCCTGCTCGCGAAGTTCAGCAGCGGATATGACGATCGAGTCAGATCTCTCATCATACATCTTGAAACGCTCATTCATCTCCTTCTCGCTTCGGGCGACCCACTCGTGGAAATCACGGAACTTAGCCTCGTGTTTTGAGAGAGTTCCGGCAACGGCAGAGAAAGATGATTCAACCTTCTTCTCGAAGGCGTCAACACGGTTATTGATCTTCTTGATCTCACCGACGCAAGCGTTGATATCATCCCTACATGAACGAATCTCAGCTCTGCATCCCTGGATTTCGGCCTTGCACCCCTTGACCTCGTTGTGGATCGCGAGAAGCAGTCGTTGAAGCTCAGATGCAACAGGATGGCCGCCACTTGTGGAAGCAGACGGAGCAGGACGACTATCAGCGTCACGATCTCCGCGACTATTCTCTTCCCTGTCGGGAGTGCAGCCCGGAGTTCCGATTTGAAAGAATGCGGGGACAACGGAGTCGTTGACCGGTTGATTCGAAGGAAGCCCTCCATATCCAGGGGCAACAGTGCTAAGTCCAGGTCTCCGGTTCCTAGGCGTAGAGTTAATCCCGTCATCAGTCTCCTTCTCAGACATCGGGGCATTGGAGCTGAGCCCAGACCCCGCAGAGTGTATAGGAACGTCAATAGGATCGTGATGAGCTGGGGGATTAGATCGCAGTCGTAGAGCAGCTTCACGTCTCTCGGGTGACTCAGAGCTCCTCTTTGTGGCTCGTGAGTCAGTGCCGGTTTGTCCCGACACATTATCAAATGATGATGATCCGCGAAGTTGAGCTTGATCTGGATTAGGTTGAGTGAGATCAAGCCGTTGAGCAACGTCACCATTGAGTGGCTTAGGGGAAAGTACTTTGGCAACGCGGCTCGGCGGGAGCGATGTAGTTCGTCTCTCTGGTGTGACCTCGGCCTCATCGATTACATCAAGGATCCCAGGAATGGTTTCATCATCTTCATTTCCTCTCCTGGGTCGCTGGTACGGTGGCTGGACTGCTCCTCGAGGTCGATGACGTCGGGGGCGGACTCTTTTCGAGTCTGACGCCGATTGAACGCCGCGAAGAGACCGGCATGGCTTCTTGACGAAGAGGAGGAAGGATTTGGGCCTGCTGTTTCGCGGCCCGCATCCGATCGATTAGTACCTGATGTCCGATTTGGCGGATTTGAGCCCGCGTTGTAGCGGTTCGCATCCCGACCTCGGGTACCTGAGGAAAGCGGTGGATTCGGACCAGCGTTGTAGCGGTCCGCATTCCGGTCGCGGGTACCTGACAGGTGAGATGATACTGCATCAGGGATGAAGTCCATATCCGCCGGACTGGGGTGATCGTGAATGATGTCAATGTCGGATGAACCTGAGACGGGAGGAGGGCCAGCTATTTGCGGCCAATCCTCAATCGCCCGTTTGCCCACCTCGGGTTGGGCCGAACCTGCAACATGAGAAGGGGAGAAATCTTCAATGGGGTCATTTTCTCCATCATGAGGAAAACCCTGAGTAGGCTCATGCGTAGGCAGGGCATCAAAGGATCTGTCAATTCGGGAAGGCTGAGACCTCCAATCAGCATCAAAAAGGGATTGAAAATCCAGATTCCCAACCGAAACGGGGGCACCCGAGTTAAAGTCGAGCCGACCGAAATCAGGCGGTGTAGCCTGCGATCCACTGCCGAGGAGTTGGTCAAACTGATCCCATGTAAGGGACCATGATTGAGCCGGCTCCGGATGAGCAGCATGATGGACAGCCCGGTCCTCGATCTGGAGCGCCACGAACGGAACAGTAGGCGAAATCGATGAGGGCACCTGATTTGGAGGAACCTCAGCCTCTTCTAGAGGGGGTCCGTCCTCGATCTGGAGCACTGCCGCCGGGATAGGGGCCTCCGCATCCTCATCAAACACAACCTGAGAAAGGATCCAATCGTCCGTGATCACCCCGGGATTGGGCTCTGCGCCCACCATCGGGGGAATGGGCCACAGCCGGCTGTCTAAGCCGGGGGCAGCAGGCGCGGCGTTGCCGCGAAGGGCGTTGGCCTCGTCGTCCACGAAGCCCGGCCCACGATGAGAAGCTCCGGGGGACGCCATTGCTCGTACAAGTAGGCGATGGGAGCAGGTAGCGGGTCACGTCCCGCAACCGGATCACCAGCCCCAGCTTCTAGCTGGTACGGCTGATAACCTGCGGTTTTGGGCGAACACGAAGTAGCCCAGGGAATCAAAGAGGTACACGTAATCCACGAAGTACCAAAAGAACCCAGTCTCAACGCACAATGGAGAAGGTGCTGATGACCAGGTTGTGGGAGTGACAGTTGAAGAAGATCAGGTTTGGGGAGGTTAGAAATGGGATTGCAAAACAGTAGTTTGAGGGACAGGCCCAAGAACACCTCGACGGCCGCGGCACCACAAAGCCTTTTGCGGTGACGAAGAGCGATGCCAGGATATGGCGTTCGCACGCGAGTCCGAGGGGAACTTGACGGGAGTTCCCAAAAACTTGAGCCAAACGGCCATTCGGCCGTTTTGCCACATGATGAAACAACACGTGAACAAAACACAGTTTTGATCCACAGCCATATTCAAAGATCGCCTCCTGAATCGCCTGGACTGTGCTGTCATGCAGACGGGTGGCACTAACAGGCGGTTGGACGCTCGCACCATGCTACTGGCAAAATCGGAGCTTCGTGCTGAGCTGGCGAGCAAGCAGGGGGTCAGCTGTGAGTTGGCCCTGCACAATAACAAGCACCTGGTAAGGCTCCCCCCAGACTCTGACACCGAAGCATCGAAGCTGCAAGCAAGTTTTCTTGGGGCACATTGCGTACTCAGGAGACGTTGCATGATTCCTATGTAGCCACAAGCATAAGGAGTCAAATCCAAACGAAACTCACACTCGATGATCCTGAGACACAGGGGAAAAATTGCCCGCGTGCTAGTGCCCTATCAGGAAGGAGCAGGTCGGCTCAAACGACTTTGGTGAAGTCTGTTCCAAGAGCCGAAAAAAGAGACAGAGTGAGGGAAATCAGCGACGATAGACAACCGTGGACCAACCAGAGACAGAAATCAAAGATCATGACGTCGCGCGTCACCATCACAATCACAGACTGGCACATAATACCAAAAGCAACGTCGACATCATTCAGCGTCGCAACTTGAAACATCCCATGCGCTTAAGATGGCTTCCAGCAAACATCTGCAACATGCGCCATGCACAGCCAGTCCAGAATCTGTGATCTGCAGATCTCGCGCATCGTGGCTTCAACCTGGTCCCTAGCTGCGTTCCTTGGCGGATACATCTCATTTGAGGCACACACTCCCAAAATGATTCGTATGGATGCCCTGATCTCTCCATGTTGCGAGATTTGAAAGCGAAAGAGGTGACACCGCCAAACCGGCCAAGCGCGCAGTCAGCGCTGCGATGGTTTATCCCCATGGCCGAAGCTGTACATCGGGCGAGTGATAAGATTGAAGCACTGATCCAGGGTTGCTCCGAAATGATGCTGTGGATTCCTTGTTTTTAAATACGCAAAAAGGTCGTCCAGTCCAGCCTTGCTCTCCCGGAGTTTGGGTTGACTTCTACGAATCTTTGGGTGACTTAGTGCAAATAAACAAGGAGTTTCCTTTGCTACTTTCAGTTGCTATCCGTTTGCTTGATTCACAAAACTGTCTGTCTGACCCCATGCGTCAATGCGGAGCACTCCTGTGATTCTGTGCATGTTCTGCTGATTTCTGGCTTGCTTGCTTCCGATGAATTCGCTCACACAACTGCTTGCCCCTCATGGATGGCGAACCAGAACCAATAAGCGCAGCCAAAAGCGGCAGGCCTAAAAGATCTTGTGTTCTTTGTGCCTTCCAATTTTGCAGACGCGGGAGGACCGGGCGCCAATTTTTGGCCCAAGTCCACTTGGGGCGGTTGGCCAAGCAATTCTCAGAGGAAAAAAAGGGCACACTTTTCTGGTTGGTTGAGTTTAAAGGGGAACCCTTACCCCAAAAAAAGGAAAGAAGGGCACCACTGGGCAACAGAGAATTTGCGGCAGAGTGCCGCTCTACGCCAGGCTCTTCTGCAGCTCCGCCAGCAGGCCCTCGGCGGCCTTCTTCTTCGCCTCCTTCCTGCGAACGCGCGATGGATCGATCCGGGACCCTGCCCGGACGGCCGCACCGAGAGGTTTCGCGCCCGTCCCGAGGAAAAAAAGCGGGAAGTCGAGAATTGCAAGGAAGTCAGGTTGATGCAGCCAAGGTCAACATCATGCAGCCAAGGAAAACACAATGGCATTGTTACCAAAGTGCTCCATGCTTTCCAGAGACAAAAAAAGCACCCAAATGGCGCATCTACCTAGTCGAGGGTGCCGGCCATTGGCAAAAACCGCCCAATTAGGCTCAAAATCAACCAACCCCGCAGCCCTGCCTTGAAGAAGCTGTACCCTCAGCAGTTGTAGAGCGCAGGACGGAAAGATAGGCCAGTCGGCAGCACCAGCCTCCAGCTTGCAAGAAGTCCTCCTGAAGTTCTACCTGTCAGCGAGTTTGGTCGGTCCTCATAAAACTAGTCCTTTGGCGACCGCTCCGAAAGCGCTCAGATTGTGCTTGGTGGTGGGCCGGACATGTTTCCACTGAAAATCAAAGGCGATACAATTGCCCAGGACATTGTTGAAATAGTTGTTGTTGTTTTTCTCGGGCAAGGCAGGAAATTACATGGAACCTGACCATCTGCGAGTCACTGAATCGGATAACACATTGTGGGTGTGCTGGGCGTGCCGTGTTGCAATCGTTTAACACTACAATGCTACAAACTGTATAATGCCTCGACTGGTCAATATTTGCACGCATTTGACTGCCAACGCGATGCTCCTCCAGACCACTTTCTTTGACGTGACTTCGCTGGTGCATCGCGCCTTCGTCTTCTTGCAAAAGAGGTTCAAGTTGGCCAAGGCCTCGCCCGGCTTGGCGAGCACAGCCGCCGCGTTTCGCTCCCTGGACGTCTGCGCTGCCTTCTCCTTTGCCGGGTCGGCACCTCAGATGCACGACAAACCATTGGAGCTGTCGGCTGCCATACTGATGAACAAGGTACTGGTAATATGCCAAGACGCTGCCAAGCAAGTGAAAGCAAACGTTCACTTAGATATTGTTTCCTGTGAGAGCTCACAAGCACATCTTTGCTGAACGTTGTGCATGATGGGATTCCGTGCCATGAGGTGCAGGCTCTCCTCTAGAGGTGTACGACAACACGTCGTTCCCATTTCGACCTAACACAACCGCCAGTCTGCTTCAGAGCCTTTCTTGTTGGACTCATCCGCGTCTGAATCTATCGCAGCCTTACGCTAGACCAGCCGGACAGCTGTTCCAAAAGAATCCAAGTGGCCCTGGACCTGTGGCGGCTCTGTGGCGATCTGGCCCCAACCCACGAGGAAACAAACCCCGGGGCCCACAAAAAGGTCCTACAAAACTGGCCAGGGCCTTGACCTATTTCACCCGAGCAAAAAACACCCCGACACAAATTCTGGCTGTGGCTCAAAAGACCGGTGCCAAAATGGAACCCTGGTAAGTGGAAACATGGACCAAAACCTGTGCAACCCCTCCTGTTGAATTTTGAGCCACACACAAGTATCTCGGCGCGGCACCCACGTCGCCGGGCTGGAAGCTGCGGCAGATCTCCAGCTGCTTCTGCTCCACCTCAGCCAGCACGGCCGTGGGCCTGTCCGGACGCTCGCTGAGCACCACAAACCTCGGGCGGAGTCGCACGATGCGCGATCCGCGATGTCAGAGGAGTCGCAAGATCAAAATTTAACCACTATAGGGGACCGCTGGTTTTAGTCCATGTTTCCATTTACCAGAAGTTCATTTTGGGTACCTATTTTGACCCACCCTCATGTTGGTATCAAAATGGTCGCAATCACAGGGCTTCCATAGCCATGTATGGCTGGGATTGTCCCTTACCCTCCAAAGACCCGGGTTTTGATTGTGACTCAGTTGGCCGAAGGGTTTGGGTGTGGGTCAACCGCAAAATGGAACCCTGGTAAATGAAAGCAAGGACTAAAACCTGCCGTCCGCTGGTGGCTTAATTTTGACCCATACGCATTTGTTGAAGAAAAGAATATCAATCCGGGTTGCCGCTTGGATTGGTTGATTAACCGGATTTCCCATCGATCAACGCTACGTCAAACAGAGTGGGGCGACGTTGGATCTTTCACCAGCCCTTTTCGACCGGTTTCGATACTGCATGCGTTGATCGACAAGCGCGGAGCAATCCGTAAATCTGCGAAACCAACCAGTGCCCCCGAGGCCACGCTTAGACATGGGCGAGCAACTGTACAAGTAGTGTCCTCCCGAGCGGGTTACCCAAGCGCATCTGCACATCCAACCACCACATCCCAATGCGCCGAAGGGGGGGGGAGAAACCAACCAGCACGCATCTGTTGCCATAATCCACTGTATGTGAAGAAGCAACCAATCCATACCGGCACACCCAAGGAAATGATGACGTCGCCAAAGTGGGATAGACCGCGACGCAGGACGAAGAAATTGATGAAACCTCCTGCTACTTAGCTGCTACTTCCACCCACAGCACTGTTGAGGCCAAACCAACATGGCCACCATGCGAGCACTCCATAAGCATTGCAAGCACACCCAGCATAAACAAACCCACAAAAATCCACACCACCCTTTGCATCTACAGAACCTGCCGTCTGAAGCAGGATCTCAATCACCAGCCCGAACACATTCTCAAGCCCGAAGAAAGGCTGTTCGACACCTTTCTGGTCCAACCAAACCTTCTCGCGCGACTCGTGTTTGACGGCTTGGGTATGCCAGGACACGCCGAGCCCTCCTGCCGAGCACGGCCGCGGCCTTGTACCAAGGACACCGAGTTCACCATAGGATCAAAGCGGATCACCTCGGCGGATCGTTCGTGCTGGTGCAAGAAGGAATGACTTTTTCCCGTGTCTTGGGAATGAACCGGTTTTGGGGATTCCCGAATAAAGGAAACCATAGAAAATGGAGTTTATAGGGAGTCATTCCAATTCTCATTCCCTGCTGAGAACCAGCAAGTTGTTCACCCTCAGGGTCGGGGCTTAGGGCAAAAATGAAATTGTCAGATGTTGTCACATGTTTTTGTGAGCTCGCTGACATTGGGAGCTTGGAAAAAAGCAGCTAACCGAACAGGATGTTTGCGAAGGGAACGAGGGTGACAGCCAGTCTGAAACTTTCACTAAATGCCAACAGGAATGTGAAACACCAATGCTTGCACATTAAGTCGCGCAGTTCGCCGCAGGAACATCCATGCCCTCTTCTGCAACCACGGTGGTGATGAGGAGATTCACAGCGCCAGAGGCAAAAGCCTTGAGGCGCGCTTGGCTTTGCGCCGAAGAGACTGCCAAGGATGACGTGGCAGGAGAGGACGTGGCGTAAAGGCATGCTGGAGTGAACTGCTTGAGGCCGGCATCGCGAATCACATGCTCCAGGATGTGAGTCATCACCCGCTGCTGTACAAACAGTATGCCACGGAACTCTCCATGGGTGGCGACTAAGGCGTCAAATTTGTGCTCAAGCACCTCCTTCAAATGCTCGTGCCTTGGCCAGATCTCCGGGCACGCACGCCAGAACTCGGCGTGAGATTTGTCCACGAACGCCGGCCAAGTGGACGCCTTCGGGTGAGCGCTGCCGTTTCCTGTTTCGCAACGACTGGAGCGTGACCGAACAGCTAGGGAACAAAAAGACAGGGAGCATTTCTGGGATTGGATTAGAAACCCAAATGTAGGAACAAGGCTCGAAAGCAGCTAACAACGCCCCGCCTCCAGCCGCCTTTGGCCCGTCATCGCCAGGTATGCGGCCGCTGCATCCTGCGCCTCTTCCCAGGAGTTCAGAAGCACGCGAAGGGCCTCGTACCAGTGTTCCAGGGCACCGTACCTCTCACATGGACGAACTCCGCGCGGTCGAAGAAAGTTTGCTCGAACAACAAAGCTTGCACCATTTCTCTCGAATAGAGCGTGACTCGTCTAGCTAAACTTCATGCTTGTCAGAGGGCTTTGGTGGTTGCTTGCCCACGCATACAATCAAGTGCGCTGGGTGTGATTGGTGTTTGCTCGACTTCACTGCGACACCGATACCAAACTCACTGAACAATTACACCAGCATAGACCCCAGATAGCGAAAAACATGCCGACAGTTGTACACCAGCACCTCCAACGGCACCCCGAAGAGCGCCCCAAACAGCACCCGGCCGTCAATCTCACAGAAATGCGCCCACACTGTCACCCCGAACAGCACCCCGAACAGCACCCCGAACAGCACCCCCAAACAGCACCCCCAAAGCACCCAGCCATCAATCTTGCGAGATGCGCCCACACCGTCACCAGCACCTAACAGCACCCCAAGCAGCATCCCAAAGCACCGCCCGCACCAGCACCCCAAACTTCATGCCTGCTTGCACCCTACCGTCAGGCTTGCAAAAATGCGCCCGCACCGTCACCTGCACGTACGCTAGCACCCGGCCGTCAATCTCACCAGCACCTCAAACAGCGCCCCAAACAGCACCCCAAACGGCAACTACACCAGCACCCAAACTGCACGCCCCCTAGCACCCTCCCATCAATCTCGCAAGTCTTTTGTTAGAAGTTAGAACCCCTATAGCTTTCAGCTATCTGGGGAAAGACAAGCCTTTCCCAATCAACTCAGCCCGGGAGCATGGGAGATCTGTCCGCTTTGTTGTGCGCATAGCTGCCCCAGGTCTTGGAGGATGCCTTCAGCGGCGACTGAAAGCTGGGATCCGCAGCCAGGGCTTTCTCCATGGACGTCACCACCCCAAAGAGCTTCTGAGCAAACTCGGTGGAGGAACCTCGCGGTCTCACGCAAGCCCGACTTGATGAACCCACTTAACCAGCTGTTGGTCTGTGGAGCTCGAATCTAGCAAATAAAAATGCGAACAGAACAAACAAAACAAACAAAACAAACGAAACAAACACAACAACTGCCAAAAAAGAAGATGCGAACCGTTTTCAAGGCGCCTGCCGCCAGTCGTGCAAAAAAGATCTTCCCCATAAGGTGAGGCTTGCGGTCGGTTTCCGGGACCACGTTTTCTGGCACCAGGCTGGGGATCTCTGCGCCGAGCTCCGGGGCCGCAGCGCGGCAGTGGTAGCCGCTGGCCTCGAGCTCCGCTTGGGTGGCGGTCTCCAAAACGCGAACTTGCAGCTCCCGGCAGATGCGACTCACGTCCCCCTGGACCTTCTTCTCCTCAAAAACCGAAGAAAAAAGAGAGGAAGATGGAAGACGCGCCGGGAGCGTTGGTTGGAAGCTTCTGATGCCGAGGTCTGATGTTGCAAGGCGGGCTACGTGACAGCTTGCTCAGATATGGAAGAAGGCTTATTCGTTTCAAAAGCTGAGTTCACAGGAGGCAAACGTGAGCACACCACCATGATACATGTACATATATATATATATATATAATTATGTGTATACTGGTATATATATATATATTATGCGCAATCACAAAGAGTCTCTGTTGCTCAAACGAGCAAGATTCTCCAACAGCGTAGGTCAGTGAAGCTGTCAGCCCCAGCACCACCGGCCCATCGCACTTACAGAGCTGCTGCGCCAGCTTGCGGTAGGGATGGTCCTTGAGCACGTGATGGACTTCATCAAACACTACCTGAGCCATCCAAGCTGAATCCGAATCCATAGGCTGAGCCCGTTGCGCGTTCTCAAGGGAGCCGAATATAGGTGGGGTTCTCGTTTCTGGTAAACCGGAACATCCAGCTGGGGTAGCCCAAGTTAGGCTGAAACAACTCAGATTAGCAAAATGTGCGCCGTCCAACCCAAAAAGTGCATGCTGCTAGGTGAAGAAACCAAAAGCACTGCGCTTTCCTGCGTGAATCACGTCCCGGGATTTGCCTTCAGCCAACTTGTCTAGGCGAACTTGAGGTCAAGGTGAAATAAGCAAGACCATTGATTTGCTGGAAGCTTTCCAGCTCTGAAGTCACCCCAAGCTACGAGATGCCTGCCCCCCACCAAACGCAAAAAAGCCAAAAAAGGAAGAAAAGCCGCGCGGCAAGCTTGAACTGGGACCAAGCCAGCGAGGAGGTCTTGGCCTGCGCAATCTGAAAAGCCTTCGGAGTGGAGACCAAGATGTCAAAGCGCTGGGGCAGCACCGCGCCGCCCATGTACTCGCCCACATCTTGCTGCGTCCATGCTCTGATCGCTTGCGCCTGCTGCTTCACCAACAAACAAGTGGGAACCAGGAAAACGCAAGCGCCCCCCAATGTCCGGATCACCTCAGCAGCAATCAGTGTCTTTCCAGCGCCCGTGGGAAGCAAGACTATGCTGTTCCCTCCAGCAAGCACCGCTTGCACGATGCGCAACTGGTAGCTGCGCAATTGCATACTGAAGAATGGAATCGACTAGTTTGGAGCACTCGCAGCTCGGAATAAACGTCTCGCACAATCTGCAAAACACCGAGAGGCAAGGGGCTGCAAGGAAGCCAGCCAAACTATGTTTGTTTGCATTCCCACTTTGCATTGTCGTTTGGGTTGGCAGCGTGATGAAACCATGATGAACGGACAGAGATGCAATACAATAGTTCTTTGGGGGTATTGATTTGCAAAGCTCCCCATTGACGAGAAAAATGAAACAATGACAACGCGGATAGGAAAAACAACATTGGAAACGGCAGCAGTCAAATCGGCCCAGCCACGTTCTTGGAAAGCATCAAGGGTCATCATTTCAAAAGAACCGTCTGCCGCCAGTGGTTGAGAAACCTGGATTTGATTAGGTTGCAGCATGTCCTATGCAAATCGCTGTGTGATATGTTTATTGTCTTTTTATCTAGCTGGCCTTGAGGGATTGTTTTTCCCGAAACATGAACCGTTTTGCTCAAAGAGGCATGGGCCAGGAAGTGCTTCCACTTAGGTTCTCACATGTTTCTCCACTAATCTCCTTGCCCGTAACGTTGCATCCTGGCAAATGCGAACCCCGATCTTCCCCGGCCCTTACCCGTAAGAGCCCCTTACTGCATACGCGCTGTGGAAATATGCAAAATGCTTCCGCGCAAAGTGCAAATGTGGGGAGACCTCCGGCAAACTTGAGCAAGGTGCGGGCGAGCCCATTCCAAAACAGGTTCAACGCCGTTTCCGCTGCCGCCCCTTTTTGTAGCCTCAACGCCCCTAGCAGACTTCTTCCAACCAAAGCACGATCTTCACGGCGTTCATCATTCTTGACGCAGACGGCATCTTTCTGAGGTACATACTTTGAGCAGCCATTGTTGCTCAAAATCGCAGAACCGGCCGGGCGCTTCATGGCAGATCTGCAGTCCAGACGCCTCCGGGGGGGATCTGACTTTTGGGGATCTGACTTTTGGGGGTATGGAACTCGGCGCTGTGAGGACATGGTTCAAGCCCATGGGGCGGGCAGAGTTTACACCTGGCAACTCTGAAGGACAAGACGCAGTAAGAGGCCTGTGCCCCGGTGCCTTTGCGGGTGCTGCGCATTAAGGTCTCTTCAAGTGTTTTTTTGGGGTTGGTACCCGTTCTTTGGGCAGGTTTTGAAGGGGAAAACACGCCATTTTGGGCGGTCCCCGGAGAGAACAAACCACCCCCTGGCCTTCTTCCCTCGACCTACGTAGCCCTTCTCCTGAAAGTATGCCAATGCCTGCAGGGCTCAGAGAGACGTGGGACAAGAAGGAGAATGCGCCGTAACTCGATGATGTGGGTCATATGGGTGTGGGCAAAAGTAGGGCAACCCCACAATGGCTTGCCCGGGTAAATGGAAAGGACGAAAACCTGGCGGTTTAGTGGCGGCTTGGTTTTGATCCATACCCATATCAGTATGATGGCGATCCAAACTCCCTATGAAGGTGTTCATGAACATCCCGTTTGGCCGCAAATAAAGCGGGGGACGTTCGACCATGGCACATATCAGCTGTCTTTTTGGGGTACCCTCTTTCTTGGTGGGTCTTGAAAGGAACACCAACTTGCCAGCAAGTCCTCTGCCAACAACTGGAAAAGCCTTTGGCTGAGGATTTGGGTGGAGCAGGGGTGTCCATTTTGAGGCATGTGGATCCATTCCGTTTGTATAGGCCTCATCTTGGCGTCGCGTTTTCTTCTCTGCGAGCATTGAGGTGTCGATGCCCTAGGAATCGCCAAACTCTGCTGCGTTCGCCGCGAGCCGATGCGAGGCTCGACTTTGCCGAGCTGGTACACCACAAGGTTCCACAGCTGCAAGACTGTACAGACCTTACCGACTCCATGACACAATCCCAAACGTCATGATTGGCTTTCACGGGCAAAACGAGCAGTTGAGACGGCATAACCCCAAATCAAGCAGAAAGTACAACATCATGAGTACCATCTTAAGGTGATTTCACAGGGGATGAGCAATCCTGCTGGCCCCCCAACCAACCAACATCGAACCCAACAGCAGTCTGGTTTCACCGCCAGCAAGCTTAGACCCTGGCAGAAGCCCTCCAGAAAACCATCAGGGACTTTGCTTCAAGGCAGGTTCCCTGTGCCAAAGCCAACGCCCTCTAAACAAGCAAACAAAAAATGAAGGCGCGAGGGGCTCCGCGCAGCGGATTCAAGGCTCAGTCCGGCGCCTTCAGGTCGCAAAGCTTCTCGTCCAGCCGGGGTAGAGCTTGTGCCCCAAGCTCGCGCCGAAGCTGAGGAGGAGGTCCACCCTTTGGTCTTCATAGCGCACCTCGAAGGCCATTGCTGGGAAGGTCGGATCGATCACATTCTAAGGGTCGGCCGGGCACCCTGTTCACCCATCACTCCTTTTTTGGGGACCAAGGAGAGGAGGTTTGAGTATAAAGGCCCTTCTTCACAAGTTACGTTTGAGCCAAACTCATCCTGTTGCCTCAGATGTGGTATGGCCAATCCTAGAATCCCACAAATTCCAAACAAATACGTCATAGGCGGCGATCCTGTAGGGCCCCTAGTCAGGGGAACCGACATCCAACCCTCCAAGAAGCTGGGATCATCTTCAATTCGGTGATCAAGAAATAAGCTGAACCCCGCCCCCCCCCCCCCAACATGAAACAATCGCCTCATTTAAAGAGATCCATGCGATGGTTACTTGCTTGGATGAAGTTGCAGAATGCATCCTGAAACTGCTCGCCTGAATCACACAGACAGCCTACCAAGTCAAGTGGTGTGGGTGTGTGTGGGTGTGTGTGGGTGTGTGTGTGTGCAAGAAGCCTTAAGCTTTGTTAGTTGACAACTGGAAAACCCATGGAGCTGTCGACAGGTTGGTGCAACAGCCTCCATCCACCAGGATTACGGAGGTAGTTTCTCAAGCACATCGCCATCGTGGGAACACCGGCCCTCTGCACCCGACTGCGATCGCCACCCGACTTCCCAATCCGAGTCGCCTCCTTCTTCACCGAGTGCAGGATGCCTCGCCAGTCGTTGCGCCAGAGTACCACTCGGTTGCGCCGCTGTCGGATCAGGTGCTCCTCCTAGGGATTTGCCACGTGACGCCAAGCACAGTGCGCCCTTGACTTGCTGAAAATACCACAAACATATCCATGAAGACTCTACAACCCCTGAAGGGGTTTCGGGGTTCACCCCTCAACACAGCACCTCCCACATTCGCGGAAAGGGAAGGACCTCTCTCGCATGCTTGCTCCGCTTGGCAAGTCATAGCAATGAGCCCTAAAGTATGATTTGCCAGGGTTGAGATACAGGTAATGTTTTTCCGGCTTTAGACCACAGTCAACTTGTTGTACGAGTGCAATACTTGATTGTACATGATAACCATATCAATTTCACGTATGTACGTTTCTTGTTATGAATAATGTTCATACTATCCAAAACTCCTGCTGCATGATATTGTCAACATGGGTCCAAAAACGGAGGTACCAACTCCCAAAGCAAGACAAACCTGCATACACAGTCCTGACCATTCCCCCCCCCCTGCCCCCTCCTCCCCACGAATCAGCTGCAGACCATCACCCTCAGACCCGTCCGCCACCCACAGCACCACCAGCAGATCTGCGGAGTCCACAGGCATCGGAGGATTGGCGGTTCCGAGCCACTTCCAGGCCAACATCTTCTCCAGCACCAAGCGACTGGTGCTGACCTGCACCCAAAACTCTCGGCTTAGACTCCCCCAAAAAGCCCCGAAGAAAAGCGCCCGGGCCTTAAAAAGAAAAACGAAAGGGGACTGAGGGCTTGCGCGATGAAGCGAAACCTGAAGTCTCTTCAAACATTGGCTGGTCGGTTGCGCTATGTATCCGAACGCGAGAACTGGTTGCTCAACTTCGTTGGGTTGCGACAATCTGTGTGCAGGCCATCGCCAATCCATACCACACATCGACTGGTATGGCCAAAATCCTTCCGATCATGCTTGTTTAAGCGCATTTTGTGGATGGGCGTGATAGACACGAGTGCTGCCTTGTTTGCCCGCCAAGCAGGGTTTTCTCATGCTCGGTCGTTGATTCTACAAGCAGCGTAGGAGTATGGCAATTCAAGGGAAGGCAATTGCACCCCAGTTCCATACACAATGATCAAAGAGGCAAAAAAATAACCCCTTCAAATGTAGTGATCGCAGGAGCGTCGTGCTTTATAACGTGCCACCCACATCAAGGTGCGGGTAGAAAAATATTAGGCGATTGGCGATGCTGCCATTGAATGAGACACGTTGTGTTTCTGCTTCACTGCATGAAGCTTAGCAAAAATCACACATTGATCTTCCTATCTTCCTTGAAGAAGCAAGTTGCCACGGAAAAAATGGCATACTCAAAGATCATCATGCACCTCCTCAATAAATGCTTGATTGTCTGGAAATCTCTGCTTGACTGCATCTCAAAATATAGAGCGCCTACCAGAAAGGAGCCACTGCCCATTCCCCTGCAGTGCCTGCGCTTGACAGCTGTCAAAAGAATCCAAATCCCAACGCTGCCACGTGCAAATAGCTCAAAACCGCATGTTGAAAAACAAGCCGTTTGCAGTGTGTGCCGTCTTGGTTAAGCGCACACACACACACACACACACCCTATGTCCCGTGCCTGGATGTGCGGCGACCTTGCCAACGCCTGCGCCAGCTCCACCAGTGCCTCGCAGTTGAGCCCCTCCACAAGAGACGCCTGGACCGGTCGTTGCCGCGGATCTTGGCGGAACATCATCGCAGACATCACCTTTGGTTTGACGGAAACCGAAACCACATGGCTGTGGGTCAAAAATATGTGCCCAAGATGGACTCCTGGTAAATGGAAAAATGGGCTAAAACCTGCGGTCCAGTTCCTGGTGGTTTCATTTTGACCCATACCCACATGGAGATTTGCACCAAGGAACCCCCCCCCCCCGAAGAAAAAAAAAAAAAACGGCAGCGGCCAAGCTGAGGGCGTCGCCTCCAGCACGCCGCGGCCGGGACGCGCCGTGTGCCAGACCGTGGCCTCCGCAAACCAGGGCGCCAGGTCCGGCAGGTCCGGAGCCTGTGAAGCGGAAGGCGGAATGGGCCCCGGCTCGCTCGGCTCCCAGGGCGTCGACTCATTTTGACCGAAACAGCCTGACATGTGGCCGTGGGCCTGAGCGGTTGTCTTGGCATGCACTTTTTGCATGTCCTGGATGTCCTGGATTGACTGGAATTGGACAACCGGCGCGCAAATCTGGTCTGGAAGAGTAAAGGAGACTGAAGATGCCAAATGGCCATGGGGCATAACCTATGGCTCCAGTTTCGGGTGGATGAACATCCATTTGCCACCAATTTTGATGTTCACCAGGGGTACAGGGCTTTGACCAGGACATCCGGGCAAGCTCCAAAAAACAGCATGCCATAACCTGCATTGCAGTGAATCAGTGCACCCATCCCCCCCCCCCAAACCCCGCCTCCACCTCCTGCACCACGAAGCCTCGCGCTTTCAGCTCCCGCCCGCCCGTGAGCAGCTCCGTGGCGCGGTGCCACGGCAGAGGCGGCACGAAGGCCCGCCCCTCGTCGCCCTGCCGCCGGAGCAGCCCCCCCCAGCCCCCCCCCCCCTACAAAGGCTTGATCAGGTTTCAGCGCTTCCAGGAGGGGGTCAAGGGGAGCTGCCATAGGACCCCATGAAAAACTTCAAAGGCGCCACCAATGGCAGACTAGAACCTTCAACTTTGGCATGCCGCTCACAGAGACTCACCTATAGACGCAGCTTTTAATTGAGGAATTGTCCGCTAGAAAATCTCTTTGATTAGGAAAAATAATCCTCAAAAACTGTGGGCGAACCTTCGACCTTGGCAGAAACTGTGGTCTCGCGCACACTGCCCCTTGAACGAGATAGTTAGACCCTCGTGATTTTTGTGGCCGCTGATCTTCAGCTTTCGCGACCCGGACATAACGAAGCTTCCAGCACCTCACCTGGCATGTTGCGTGCCTTCAACCGGCGACCAAGGGTGGATCAGCTTCACAGAAACCAACCTCCCCGACTCAATCTCCAACTCGGCGCGCGGCCACTTGAAGCCTGCAGCCCGTCGTCAAGTCTCCTTGAAAAGGAAGCCCGTTGGCGTCCTTTTCTTTTCATCTTGGCGGTGCGGAGTACTTCAAGCAGGCCCAGACCCTCTCATGTTGAGCTCACATTCACAAACTCATCACTTTTGGAAGCAAAACACCCCCCCCCCAATTTCTAGGACAGGTTGATTCATGGTGGGTCGAGCTCAGTGCCAAAAGGTCCGCACCCTCCGCCTTCCCAACGCTGCGGAGGAACCGGAGCTGGGCCAAGTCGTGGGAGCGCTTCGGCTCCCTCGGAGCGAGCAAAAGCCACCCGAGCCGATCCGCCCGATCCGCGATCCAAATGAGCCCGAGTTGGAGGCCTCAAATGCCCGAGAAGGAATCCGAAACAAACCTCCTCCCAATGAAAAACATGAAAACCTCCACACAGCTTGGACAGAAAGCCCGGCAAAGGCAAATGTGGTCTGAAGCCTGGGTGACATCAGTGAAGTTCAAGCGAACAATTGGATGTTTCACGCAACTGCAAATGTTGACACTCCACACGGTGGACGATGGTCTCCGTTCGCACATTCCAAGCATGACTACCCAGTAAGCTCCTGTTCCCAGGCATCACGATCTCTCTCAATGGTTGGATTCCCAATGCGGGGCTAAGCGGCTAGAAGGCGCAGCCCCTTCGTGTGGGATTGCAAAAGAGGCCATGATCCCATGATACGGAACCTGGATCGCCTTCTTCAAACATACCCCTGCAAAATCTAGCCCCCTGTCCCCAGCCCGCTGAAACAATGGGCTTGTCATAAGGGGAGCTGTGTCAGAAGCTTACGACTTACGCTCCTCGCCCCTCACATTCGACCGCATGGCCGGGCGTCGAGTCAGACTCGTCTCCCGAACTCGCAGGCCACTGGCTCGCAAAGCCTGCAAGCCAAGATACCGGAGACAAAGAACTTGTCACAACTCAAATTCCCCTCTTCTTTCTGGAAACCTCGGAGGTCCGATTACAAAAAAAAAAGACACGTCCACGTCCCAAACAAAGAAGCATTGTCCCAAGGCCAGGGGGCCGACGCCGTCTTCCATGCCCCAGCGAAGGCGGTGGCTGAAGCGGCACCAAGCGCCCAGCGCCGCCAAGTTCTGGCGCAGCAGCAGGTACCGCGTGGCAAGGCTGTGGCAAGCACCCACCAGCTCCTTCGAGAAGTTTCGGCTGATGTGTTTGCCAAACCAATCCCAGCCGACACAAGTTAAACCTTGCCAGAACCTCTCGGATGATCAGAAGTATAATCAAAAAACACACACGCTCGCGCGCGCGAGCACACACACAAGGATACTAGACTTCTGGCGATTGCTGGCTGGCATCTTCTCGCAATGGCGGGTGCAGCTTTGCTCGAGGCTCATACCCGTGGCACATCCATCAAAGAAAGCAGTTCCCTGCAAACACCACGCGCCCGAACTGAGTAATCCCCGAACAACTCGCCGGCACACCTTCTCAGCTTGCATACACGATTTTTTGCCGCCAGCATCATGTCCTCTGCCTTTTCTAGTTTCAGGATTCCGCATTTCCGGCGACCGAAAGCTCCGTGCTTCCGACCGGCCCAAAAAGACCCACGCCCACGGACCCTCGCCTCCAGCGTGCGATCCCGGTGGCGCAGCTGGCGGTTCAGGCGGCAGGTCCGCCAGAAGGCTTTGGCGTCCGCCTCCGTGTCCAGGTCCGAAAGTGCCGTGGAGGTCAGAGACTCCGAGTCCTGAGCTGGCCCTGCTGCCAAGGATGAGGATTGTGAGAACTATCATACAGTAGCATCCTTTGCATTACCAGTGACTGTGATGTAGCATAACGACTTCGTCTTGCGAAATGGGTAGGAAATGACCATCCGGGTGTCGGGAATGAACCCAGTTGGTCCATACTTCAAACCGCCGGTTGGGATGGTTTATAAGGGTCATTCCATTTCGCATTCCCTGTCTATCGCGCCAGCAAGTAGTGGCGGTTTGGAGCCGGAGCCCGGTGGTTTGGAGCCGTGAAATGAGGAGGGCTTTGCCATTTGCGAATCCAATGCAACTGGTGGTTAGGCCACAAGCTTCCGCAACTCGCAAAGATCGCAAGGCGTGAACGCGCTTCAGCGCGGTCGGCAAATGAGCACAGTCCCGCTCAATTTACCCGACGAGAAAACCATCTCCCTCACAAGCAGCAGACATGGGATGGACAAAGTCGCGAACACAGACCCTCCGGTCCTCCGGGGTGTTGACCTCCGGCAGTGCCATGCTCAGCCGCTCGCATCGCACATCCGCATCCTTCCCCGCGAGCGCGCAGCAGGCCTGGGCTGAAGGCATCTCCCGGCAGGCGGAGAGGCCGCAGTTGCCTTCGACTCGACTCGACGCAGCACTCGAGACTCAGCGGGTACGCGACTCAGGGACTCGGGACGCGGGGTACTCAGTCGCTCTCCCCAAGGGAAACATGGACCAGCCCTTACGAATTCCCCGTCAACTCTTCTTGCTGGTGCGATAGATTATAAGGGTCATTCCAATTCTCAACATCTTGTAGACTAGGAGACTATGTCTTTGGGGAGACGTCTGCACCTTACAAATGCCTCCTCAAGGCATCAGCCGAGGCAGCCGAGCGGCAGGGCAGGTCCCAAGGCTTGCCGGTGAAGTACTCCAACTTCTCCCCCCAGCCCCAGAAGGCCTCAGATTCGGCTTGCGCATTGGTCGGTCTAGGCCACGGACAACACTTACTGCTACGACATAGCAAGCAAGTAGCAGGCGGCCAGTCAACCAGCGAACAAAAAAGCATCCCAGAACAACAACCAAGTACAAGCTCACTTAGCCGTTGATCCCTGCCTCACAGCAGCTGAAACCTCGCAAGCCACAGCCGCTCTGTTGCTTCTGCGGCTCGCACCTCCCGAGCAAACCAATCCACTGCAATTTGGCCTCACTTATGCCTAGCAAGAAGTGGGGGAGGGGTGCGATTACACTTCTGCTCCAGGCTTTCATGAAACTCGCAACTTCCGGTCGCTTTGGAATCACTTGGTGCGATTGCACTTCCACCCCACTGCCATGGAAAAAAGGTGCAGTCGTGCTTGTTTCCGGCCCCAGGGCAATGCAGTGAAAACATTGAGAGCTACACGATGTGCGTTCAGGTTCAATGTCTTCACCCTATCTAAGGGTGTTTCCCTTTGGGTGTGAGTCCTTTCACTCGACTGCAAATTAGAATTGCTTCCATGTTTCACTCGACTGCAAATTAGAATTGCTTCCATGTTGGTCAAGTGCAGACCAATCTGGCATTGTCTTGCTTGGCTTGGGCTCAAGATCTTGCCGGAGATTTTTTGTGATTTGTCTGGGTCATTTATCATCAGCACCCACAGGCACAGCTGCCAAATAGCGCCGAAGCATTACCCCTTCAACAAACAGCACTGCTTCTGCTGATGTTCGTGCCACTGGTTTCTGTATGAAGCAGGATTGTGTCTGCTGGACAGTGTTCACATCATGGCTACATCCAAAACCAAAACACATGTTTGATCAGTATGTACTATGCGGGTGATGTCAGCATGGCTGGCCCCTAGCATGCTTGCTGATATTCACATTCAACGAACTATGCGCCTGGTGGAAAATATTTTGCTAGCAAGGACATCAAACACCGCGGTACGACCTGAGTTGCAACAATACAACAAAACATGTCCATATTCAGGTCAAAAGAACACAAAACATTCTGACAAGCTTCTCTTCAGACTAGCTGTGTCAGACTCAAATCCAAAACTTTGACAACGGAAAAGGTTGATGTTCACATGAATCCGATTGACATACATTGCGTACTGGCAAAATGCTTGTACACACCATAGCCTGGAGTTGCCCGGAAGGGGGACACACATTCCAAAGGCTTCTTGCTGGTGGTCAGTAGGGAATGATCCAGGGTCTTGGGAATGAACCTAGAGATTCCTTCAAAGGAACCCACAAGAGATTGCTTATACGGGTCAACCTCTCATTCCTGCTGAGCACCAGCAGGCTTGTGTCCGGTCAGACAGTTGGCGCCTGGCAAACGTGCCCTGGAGGCTTACAAAGCGCAGGTCTCGGCAAGCCATCCAGCCCACGGGCCACTCCTGGAATCGGCACTCGAAGAGCTTCTCCAAAGAGAAACCCTTGCTCGAGCTGGCCTGGCGGCGAAAGCTGCTTGCTGGAAGCACTCCGACACGCCCAAGAGCCAGCAATTCATTCCCACGGCTTCTCTTGACATTGCAGTTGGTCCATACAGCCATTCATCTTCGTCCACATGTTGTGTAACTCCCTTTTTTTGGAACACCTCCGCAGATCGATGTCAATTTCCCTTGTGGCTTCCCTCCAAAAAAGACAGAGCACCGCACCCGCTTGCGCCTGGAAGGCGCCCGAAACGTCTCGCAGGTGCACCCGTGGCGGCCAAGTGGCCTCCGCCCCGGCGACATCCGCGGGGTCGAGGTCTGCGCTGGCGAGGGCCGCGAAGCGCGGGTGGTGCCGGAGCCCGCTCTCGGCCACCAGGGCCCCGTGGTGCCCAAGGAAGCTCTGAGACCAGGCGAAGTAGTCCTGAACGAAGGAAAAAGTGGCCATGGGTCAAAAGCCCGCACCGCCAGTGAACATCCCAATCAACACTAAAATAGACTAAAATGGGTAGTGCACCTACCCCAAAATGGTATCATTGGTTTTGACCCACAGCCAAGTCTGAGATTCCTGTTGCAAGTAGGGCCAACTTTAGTGTAAGGGCTTCCTTTTTATCAAATCACTCACTTGAGACTTGAGCATGCACGGCACAACGGAACAAATGACAAAGAGCGCACCAGCTCGATTCACACGCTGCGTGCTGATAAGTCTTGGAACTCCCACACAAATCTTTCGTGAGCACTTGTCACCCCCAGGGTAGGGGCATCTGGAAAGGTAAGTTACATCTTAGGTTCAGAGCATACTTTGTTGCAGGGATCTGCAAGTGATAAAATACATGGTTTTTGGTTTTCAAAGGGTACGCTTACATGTTCAAGGTGGTTGGCTGGATCTTGCTGTGTTGGAAGGGTCAATGATCAAATAAGCGTTAAACAAATGCAACTTGCACTTGCCAACCCCCCCCCTTTCAAGAGGAGGAAGAAGAGCCCTTCTGGGTTGCAGGGCGAGCTCGGGAAAAAGCGGCTGGGTTATCTGACCCAATGTGGGAGCTATACCTGCCTGGCCCCAGTTTGCATTGTTTCCTCTAACGTGTGTTTTTTACGAGGGGCGGGGCCTCACAGGGGCAAGTCACATTTCCGGACCTCCCCCATTTTCTGGACGTTGAATGTTGGACATATTTTTGACGTTGTGTGAAACTAGTGGCGGCAACCCTTTTGAGGGTGCTGGCCACGCGTGATCTGCCCATGCCGATTTGCGATGCTACTGCCTGGCCACCTCAGCCAAGGGTCAAAGGTGCAATTGCTGGTGCCGAGCACAGTGGTCGCTTTGTACGGCTCCAGGGCTGGGCAGTTGTTGCAGTTCATGGTGTTCCTTGGCACCAGTCATGCTGGCATGACAGATTTGCCGTTCAGACTTGTATAACTCAGGTATACCCCTGCCAAAAGCAAACGTGAAGCGTGTCGGAAGCCGCCGGCAACAACATCTCCCTTTGCCGAGTTCTACATTTGTGTGCAAATTTGCTTTGTTTGTTGATTGCTTAGAACATGGCAATCCAGCCACCAAATCAAGCTACCAAATCAAGCTGGCAGTAATGCACCAAAAGAGCCATGCAACCTGCGGGAAGTGTATCTCAACAGCCACTTTCCAGGGTCCCTGCTGACACCCGGTGTCAATGGCAAAACAAACGCCTTGCGTGGCTGTGGTCTGTGCTCTCTCTCTCAACTCGTACCAAGCTTCGGCAAAACCAAGCGCCTGCGCAGGGCAGCGGCAACCACCATAGCCTTCGTCAGGTACTCAAAGTCTTGCGCCAGCGACATGCCGCCGGGGTGGTCGTAGGTCAAAAAGCTCTGCCTACGTGCCCACCAAACGGCAAAAAGCGCCGTCTTGCTTCAACGTCTGCATTTGGCTGTGGGTCAAACATTGGTACAAGTCCGCCGACCCCTTCTCCTAAGGGGAGGCGCACGGGAAGGGTGGCAACAAGATCGTCATCATGATGGTCATCATCATCTCGTTTGTTCGACTTCAATTGTAGACCCGTTTTGAGATGCAAAAAACGCGTGGACATGCTAAGCAAAAGATGTGTGGACATGCTTATCATGATGACTCATCATCAATATCCGCTGCACGAGCATTCTGGAAGACCAGGTCTAAGGCGCGACGAGAGCACTGGTGATGCAGAGGATGCGTCGTCATGACTATCATCATGACTACTGGTGATGCTGAGGATGCCTCTAGATGATTATCATGCGACTTGAGATGCAAAAGATGCGTGGACATGATTATCATGATGACTGCTGGCGATGCTGAGGATGCGTCATGATGACGATCAGCCGATTTGCAACGCAAGAGATGCGTGGACATGATTATCATGAGGATTGCTGGATGGTTACATGGTTATCGTGATGACTGCTGGACAATTATCATCACAGTCATCATGCTTGTCACCCTCATCAATGCCATCATCATCATCATGGTAGTCATCACCATCTCTTTCTACACTTGTATATTCTATACTATACATTTCAAGTGTGGCGTTAGAGGGCACTGGTGATGCAGAGGATGCGTCGTCATGATTATCATCATGACTACTGGTGATGCTGAGGATGCGTCATGATGATTATCATGCGACTTGAGACGCAAAAGATGCGTGGACATGATTATCATGAGGATTGCTGGACTTTTACATGGTTATCATGATGACTGCTGGACAATTATCATCACAGTCATCATCCCTGTCACCCTCGTCATCAATATCATCGTCACCATCATCGTAGTCATCACCATCTTTTTCTATACTTTTATATTCTATACTATACATTTCAAGTGTGGCGTTAGAGAGCACTGGTGATGCAGAGGATGCGTCGTCATGATTATCATCATGACTACTGGTGATGCTGAGGATGCGTCATGATGATTATCGTGCGACTTGAGATGCAAAAAGATGCGTGGACATGATTATCATGAGGATTGCTGGACGGTTACATGGTTATCATGATGACTGCTGGACAATTATCATCACAGTCATCATCCTTGTCACCCTCGTCATCAATATCATCATCATCATCATCATCGTAGTCATCACCATCTCTTTCTATACTTTGATATTCTATACTATACATTTCAAGTGTGGCTTTAGAGGGCAGTGGTGATGCAGAGGATGCGTCGTCATGATTATCATCATGACTACTGGTGATGCTGAGGATGCGTCATGATGATTATCGTGCGACTTGAGATGCAAAAGATGCGTGGACATGATTATCATGATGACTGCTGGTGATGCTGAGGATGCGTCATGATGATTATCAGCCAAGTTGAAATGCAAGAGATGCGTGGACATGATTATCATGAGGATAGCTGGACGGTTACATGGTTATCATGATGACTGCTGGACAATTATCATCACAGTCATCATCCTTGTCACCCTCGTCATCAATATCATCATCATCATCATCATCATCGTAGTCATCACCATCTCTTTCTATACTTTTATATTCTATACTATACATTTCAAGTGTGGCGTTAGAGAGCACTGGTGATGCAGAGGCTGCGTCGTCATGATTATCATCATGACTACTGGTGATGCTGAGGATGCGTCATGATGATTATCATGCGACTTGAGACGCAAAAGATGCGTGGACATGATTATCATGAGGATTGCTGGACTTTTACATGGTTATCATGATGACTGCTGGACAATTATCATCACAGTCATCATCCCTGTCACCCTCGTCATCAATATCATCGTCACCATCATCGTAGTCATCACCATCTTTTTCTATACTTTTATATTCTATACTATACATTTCAAGTGTGGCGTTAGAGAGCACTGGTGAAGCAGAGGATGCGTCGTCATGATTAACATCATGACAACTGGTCATGATAATTATCATGCGACTTGAGATGCAAAAGATACGATGATAGTTATCATCACAGTCATCATCATGATCTTCTTCATCATCATCATGATGATGGTCGTCGTCATCATCATCATCACTCTTCTCATCATCATGATGGTCATCATCTCATTTCAAAAGTAACGTTGGACAGCATTGGCAATTCAAAGGATGCTACGATGATAGTTATCATCACAGCCCTCACCATTATCATCATTATCATCATGGTCATCATCATCTCTTATTTGCCGGCACTGGTGACGCCGAGGATGCTACGATGATAGTTATCATCACAGTCCTCATCCTTATCATCCTTATCATCACGGTCATCATCATCTCTTATTAGCCGGCACTGGTGATAGTTATCATCACAGCCCTCACCATTATCATCATTATCATCATGGTCATCATCATCTCTTATTTGCCGGCACTGGTGATGCCGAGGGTGTTACGATGATAGTTATAGTTATCATCACAGTCCTCATCCTTATCACATCGTCTCTTATTAGCCGGCACTGGTGATGCCGAGGGTGCGATGAAATGTATCATCACAGCCCTCATCCTTGTCATCATTATCATCATGGTCATCACCGTCTCGTATTAGCTGGCACTGGTGATGCCGAGGATGCTACGATGATAGTTATCATCACAGTCCTCATCCTTGTTATCCTTATCATCACGGTCATCATCATCTCTTATTAGGCAGCACTGGTAAAGGGTGCTACGATGATAATTATTATCAAAGTCATCATCATGATCATCCTTACCATCGTCATGATGACGGTCGTCATCATCACCATCATCGCTCTTCTCATTATAATCATGATGATCATCACCATCTCTTTCTTGTTCTTATATGCATGTCAAAAGTAACGTTAGACACCATTGGCAATGCAGAGGATGCTACGATGATAGTTATCATCACAGGCCTCACCCTTATCATCACCATCATCATGGTCATCATCATCTCTTGTTAGCCGGCACTGGTGATGCCGAGGATGCTACAATGATATTTTTCATCAACGTCCTCATCCTTGTCATCGTAATCATCACGGTCATCATCGTCTCCTACTAGCCGGGGATGCTACGATGATAGTTATCATCACAGTCCTCATCCTTGTCGTCATTATCATCACGGTCATCATCATCTCTTCTTAGGCAGCACTGGTGACGCAAAGGGTGCTACGAGGATAGTTATCATCACAGTCATCATCATGATCATCCTTACCATTATCATGATGTCATCGCTCTTCTCATCATCATCATGATAATCATCATCATCTCATTCTTGTTCTTCTATCATTGGCAACGCAAAGGATGCTACAACGATAGTTATCATCACAGTCCTCCTCCTTATCATCACTACCATCATGGTCATCATCATCTTTCATTAGCCGGCACTGGTGATGCCGAGGATGCTACGCTGATACTTATCATCACAGTCCTCATCCTTGTCATCATTATCATCATGGTCATCATCGTCTCTTATTAGCCGGCACTGGTGATGCCGAGGATGCTACGATGATAGTTGTCATCACAGTCCTCATCCTTGTCATCATTATCATCACGGTCATCATCATCGCTTATTAGGCAGCACTGGTGATGCAAAGGGTGCTACGATGATAGTCTTCATGACAATCATCATCATGATCATCCTTACCATCATCATGATGACAGTCGTCATCATCTCCATCATCGCTCTTCTCATCATCATGATGATCATCATCATCTCTTTCTTGTTCTTATATGCATTTCAACAGTAACGTTAGACACCATTGGCAATGCAGAGGATGCTAGGACGATAGTGATCATCACAGGCCTCATCCTTATCATCACTATCATCATGGTCATCATCGTCGCTTATTAGCCGGCACTGGTGATGCCGAGGATGCTACGATGATGTTTATCATCACAGTCCTCATCCTTGTCATCAGTATCATCACGGTCATCATCATCTCTTATTAGGCAGCACTGGTGATGCAAAGGGCGCTACAATGATAGTTATCATCACAATCATCATCATGATCATCCTTATTATGATGTCATCGCTCTTCTCATCATCATCATGATGATCATCATCATCTTCTTCTTGTTCTTATATGCATTTCAAAAGTAACGTTAGACACCATTGGCAATGCAGAGGATGCTACGACGATAATTATCATCACAGTCCTCATCCTTATCATCACTATCATCATGGTTATCATCATCTCTTACTAGACGGCACTGGTGATGCCGAGGATGCGATGATATTTATCATCACAGCCCTCATCCCTGTCATTATTATCATCATGGTCATCATCGTCTCGTATTAGCCGGCACTGGTGATGCCAAGGATGCTACGATGATCATTATCATCACAGTCCTCATCCTTGTTATCATTATCATCACGGTCATCATCATCTCTTGTTAGGCAGCACTGGTGATGCAAAGGGTGCTACGATGATAGTTATTATCAAAGTCATCATCATGATCATCCTTACCATCAACATCGCTCTTCTCATCATAATCATGATGATCATCATCATCTCTTTCTTGTTCTTATACGCATTTCAAAAGTAACGTTAGACAAGAGGATGCTACGATGATAGATATCATCAAGCCGGCACTGGTGATGCCGAGGATGCTACGATGATATTTATCATCACAGTCCTCATCCTTGTCATCGTAATCATGATTGTCATCATCATCTCTTTCTTCTATACATTTCAAATGTGGCGTTTGGGCACCATTGGCAATGCAGAGGATGCTACGATGACAGTTATCATGACAGTCATTGGCAGCTTTGGTAATGCAGAGGATGCTACGATGATAGTTATCATGAGAGTCATCATCCTTATCATCTTCATGATGATTGTTGTCACAGTCATCACCTTCATCATCGGCATCATGTTTGTCATCATCGTCTCTTCCTTCTATACATTTCAAATGTGGCGTTTGGGCAGCATTGGTAATGCAGAGGATGCTACGATGATAGTTCTCATGACAGTCATTGGCAGCTTTGGTAATGCAGAGGATGCTACGATGATATTTATCATCACAGTCCTCATCCTTGTCATCGTCATCATGATTGTCATCATCATCTCTTTTTACATTTCAAATGTGGCGTTTGGGCACCGTTGGTAATGCAGAGGATGCTGTGATGATATTATCATGACAGTCATCATCCTTATCATCATTGTGCGTATGATCATCATGATCTCTGATTCTGCAGCATTGGTAATGCAGAGGATGCCACGATGATAGTTATCATGCCAGTCATTGGCAGCTTTGGTAATGCAGAGGATGCTACGATGATAGTTATCATGAGAGCCACCATCATTATCATCTTCATGATGATTGTCATCACAATCATCACTTTCATCATCGGCATCATGATTGTCATCATCATCTCTTTTTACATTTCAAATGTGGCGTTTGGGCACCATTGGTAATGCAAATTCCGGGCCCGGATTTTTGCCCATGTTGGCGCCAAATTGATTCACCCAAAGTCAATCAAAAGAGCGCTTGCATCCGGGCCCAAATTAGGGTAGTTGAAGCTGAGTAGTGAGGTTATTCCCATTGTAGACAGAGATTCAGGAGGGTGGCCTCCCCGAAATGGGGGGGCTTATTTATAGTCCATGCATCCCAGAATGCAGTGTCTAAATGAGTCCCCCCGTTTGGGCGACAGGAAGCGTTTGGCTGGCAACGTGTAGGGGGGCCAGGCTTAGATTCAGGAGGGTGGCCTCCCCGAAATGGGGGGGCTCATTTTTTGCCCGTGCATTCCAGAATGCGGTGTCTAAATGAGTCCCTCTTTTTTGGGGGGACCTTTTTTTGCCTTGCCGGGATTTCGTGCGACAAGGTCTTGCATGGTGCCTGCATTCAGAGGAGGCATGTACTCCATTTTACTGTTGACTTAGCACACTCAAAACATACACTGGTCTGTTTTATTCCGCATCTTAGTCGCGACACTGCGCGCTCAATCCGGTTGAGCCAACGAGATACATAAACAGGTCCGATCGTTTACGCAGGACAACCATGTTTGTGCCCTTCTTTTGGGTTGCCTTAAAGGCAAGCCAGAAAGAAGCCAGCCCTCTTTGGAGTACTTGACTGTATGGGGTCGGCGGCACTGGGCGGCAGCCCTTAAATCCGGCTACGCCTCCTTGGGGTAGCATGTCGCCGCTAGGCAATTAGCCTGCTAGCTTTAGCTATAGGGGGTGCACCCTGGTGCCGCCGACCCTCGCCACTTGGTCGTGATGCGCTGCCTAAATCCGGCACCTCTGCATCACCAGCTCGGGCTTGCGGTTTTGCTTGCCTGTGGGAAACCCTCGCAAAACATCGCGTATACGCAGGGTTTAGGCCATGTGGCTGACATCATCAGGGTGTGGGGTTGGGCCTGGGCGATGCTTCAGCGGTCTGCATCATCCAGACTTCCTTCCAAAAAGCCTCTCAACCCAAAAAGCCTGTTTTTTAGAAGGTATCGGAGGGATATAAGCGAGGCTCATTTTCGCGCATTTTGGCGCCAAGCGCTGCCGGGCATGCCGGCGATGCTGGGTCCTCGCTCTACAAAACGCTGTAAATACCGTCAAAAACTGCTGTGCTGAGCGGTGGGCTGTTGTTCTGTCCGTTTTGCTTTTGCTGTGGCTGGCTCGCGTGCTGCGCAGTCCTTGCATTTTTCGCGTTGGTTTTCGGGCCTTTTGGCGCGCGCGCGCGCGACCCCAGCCACAAAACGCTGCTATTTACGGTGTTGTGTTGCTTTTGCGTTTCCGGGCTGGCTTGCGGGCTGTTCTTTTTGGGCTGCTGTTTCTGCGGCCTCTGGCGCGCGCGCGCGACCCCATGTGAGCCTTCTAGTTTGGGTCCTGGCTAGGGCCCAGAAAGCTGGCATCCCGGCATCATCTGGGGTTGGGGTGGGCAACAGGCATAACCTAACCAGCCATATCATAGCACAGGATACGTTTCTCATACAAAAAACATGATATGACATGGTATAACTTCAAAGAGGCGTAGCCGGCTAGAGGCCGCAGGCCCAGAAAATACCCTGGTAAAAGGAACCAAGGACTAAAACCTGCGGTCCAATTCCTGGGTGGGATTTTTTGACCCATACCCATTTCTCACCTTGCGGCAACACCGACTTGACGCTACGCCCGGCCTGGCAAACCGCTCCTCAAAGTCATCGATGTACCAGAGGTTCCGGTCCCGCAGGAAGTACTCCTGGAGCCGCTGATCGGCTTTTCGACCTGCCAAACCTGGATGTGGTTGTCAAAAATAGGGTGACCCCAAAATGGAACCTGGTAAATGGAAACATGGACCAAAAAAACAAGCCGCTGACACAACCCGACCAAAAGCGAACTTGCCGTTCTCCCATGAACCAATGTCGGATTTAGAAACTGACCAAGATGGCTCATTGGGAAGCCACAACCGCAACGACCTTCCAAGACGCACAGGTGCCACATTCCAGCAAGCAGCTGATCCATTTCTACCTTCCAAACCTAAGCCGCCACCATGTCAAAGCCCAAGGCTCCTTCCCATCCACGCCGTTGGCGTGTGCGAGCACGGCCCTCTTCCCAACACTTTCGTGGGCCCGCAGCCAGAAGTAGTTCATGCCTCTGCGCGAGGAAGGGCCCTGACCAGTCTTGGACAAGTTGGCGCAACGTCACACGGCATGGTTGTAAGTGCTCGTTCGTATTCAGTTTGTTGGATGGAGTTGGCTTCCAAATGACAAATGAAAATACGGTGTTTGTTCCAATCCTCTATCCTGAGTGAATTTGCTCAAGCGTTGTTAACCTAGCAATTCGTCAGTATGTTGGCAACCACACCTGCACCATGTCCCCTGCATTAGAATATTCAAATGGTGGCATTCTGTCACCAGCTTCAGCCCTCAAGCAGCGTCCCCGGGATCGATGAATCTTCACGGATATCCCTGGGGAGCTCCGAAATGAGGATAACCAGCATCGTTTTCTTGGAAAGCTACTTCAAAAACTAAAAAAGGAAGCGCTCACAAAACAGGCGGCCGGAGAAGATGTTCCAGTAAAACCCATGACACGAAGCTGAAGGTCCTTTTGCCACAAGCACCACCTGGCGGCCGGTGCTTTGCTTTCCCTTGACCCTCCAATTTAATTTCCGCTACGCCCTTGTCAAGATGCCATGAGCGACCACTGCTGGGTCCAGAATCCGGATGCGGAGGGGCACCACGGCTGGCCTCAACCACGAAACGCTGGAAATGGAAACACACCCAACTGGGCATGCAGACATCCTTTGGAATCCATGGCTCTGGGGTAGTGAGTGAGCCATGGCTCTGAGGTAGTGAGGCATGGCTCTGGCGTGATCAAATGTGTTGGCACTCCGCCTACCTTCAAACCAGCCCACCATTCCAAACTTGTTTTGCGTGTACACACACAGCTGAAATATGGATTGCAGCTGGGCCCCCTTTACAGATTGGAGCCTCAAAAAATCAATCCCGTTAGTCGGCTTCAACGTTTACCTCTCTATGGAGGGTTCAGTCTCTGAATCTGTCGCTTCTCGCTGGCCTCTCTGCCCCATTTCGGAAGACCTGGCTCTCGTAGAGGCCATGGACCAAGTCCCGCGAGATGCGGCGCTCCACGAATTTGTTGAAGACCTGGGACCCGGCAGTGGCCGAGGCGCTCGCATGGCAACGGCGACGCCCAAGCGTACCAAGTCCAAAATTTGCGGCAGAGTGAAAGAGAAACCTAAAGAAAAAAAACTGACAGGACGACAAAAGGCCTTTTCTCCAGGCAATGGCCCAACTTGGTGGCAGCCATCCATTCATGTCGACAATGGATGGTCTGCTTGGCACATGAACAAATGGTGTGCTGCAGGATTGGAATTTGTAAGAATTTGATCTGTGACTCCCGGTGTCCTCTTGTTGAAAAATCCTTTGCGTAACCTGGCACCAACACATGATGTTGATGACAGAATCCTGTGTTTTGCACACAAATCCAAACTTGACCACAGTACAGCGCATCTGTCTATGTATCTATATATATATATATATGGTCCCGTGTTCCGTGTTGCTACCCCCCCCCCCATATGGGTACCCCCCCCCCGGCCCGAGACCCCGAGCCCCCGGATCCTGTCACCTACGGTCCCACCCCCACCCCGACCCCCTGAACTCGCACCCCGACACCCCGGCACCCCCACCCCCAGGACAAGCCAACCCGCAACAAACCCTAAACCAACCCTAAACTAACCCCAAATGCACCCTAAACCAATCCCTAAACAATAAACCCTAAACCTAAGCCAACCCTAAACCAACCCTAAACTAACCCTAAACCAACCCTAACTACACCCTAAACCAAACCCTAAACCGTACACCTCTAAACCCTAAACCAACCCTAAACCAACCTAAATCAACATAAACCAACCCTAAACCAACCCTAAACTAACCCTAAATACACCCTAAATATACCCTAAACCAATTCTCAACCAACCCTAAACCACCACAACCCAACCACAGGACCACAACCACAGGGGAAGGGGGGGGGCCATTGGCAACCGGGGGGGGGGGGCTGGCAACGCTGTACCATATATATGGCATGTGCAGCCGTACAGGAATCTTCGTGTTATGTCTTTTCTAGCGAGAAATCAGGGGAAAACGGCATGATGACGTGCTGTCATGGTTTCATGGCATCGCAACCCTCGCCGGTGGATGTGGATCTCACGTCCATTCAATGCAAAATGATAGGAGAGATATGAAAGAGCTAGTAGCTGCCTCGTTCTGAGGGTAGTGGGCCGCATGCAGGTGCGGGGCCTCGTGCAAGACATTCCAAATCTATATTGCATGAAAACTCGCAAGATATAGCCAGAACACATGTGCAATCTGTTAAGAATGTATATATATATATATAACACACGCAAACAAATAAACAAACAAACAAACAAACAAACAAACAAACAAACAAACAAACAAACAAACAAACAAACAAACAAACCATCAAACCATCAAACCAACCAACCAACCAACCAACCAACCAACAAACAAACAAACGAGCGCACATGATCACGCGCATACGCGCACTCCCCGCCTGCTGGTCCATCCAATGCCTTGGGATGCCGCCCACCTCTGTCTCATTGTGATCTTCCAGGAACTCCTTCAAGAATTGCTCTGTGCGGCTTGAAGCATTCACGAAGATGCATCCAGTGTTGATGTGCTCCTCGAAGCCTCACCGGAGACCGGCCATGTTGGGTTAAAGTAACCAAGTGGAACGGCTGGCGGTCTCTGAAACCTCCGTTGGATGCGCCTGACATTCTAATGATTAACGCCGACGTGGGATAACAATAGAACCGACTTGGCAAGAAGCACATGTGTAGTGCGTGTGTCGCTTTTGGTTCAAACGGCTGAATTGGCTACGCAGAGATACCATTGCTTCCCTTGTTTTCGTTGTTTCCCTGGATTTCCCTCATTTGGAACCAATTTTCTACTGCGACAGGGATTTCGGAGCATCCCAAAACAAACATATTTGTGCGTCCCTTCAATAAGCCCGAAAGCAGGGGGTTTTGGGTTGAGCATCTTTCAGTGGAATCCATCGTGTCCAAGAAGGACACCTAGGCGGTCCGCGGAGATGAATGGGAAAACTGGCCCAGCTCCAGCTCCAGTGGAACCAAATGAGCCACACTCTCCACAAAAAATCCCCTCGGCTTTTGTCCGTCAAGAGCCCCGGAAAGGCCCAAGGGGCCTTGCAACCAGGGCCGAATGGTTTGCAACAACTCCACAACAGCTCGCAGCGAAAGCTTCAGAGTTCACAGGGCAAGAGGCGCGTCCAGTACTGCCAAAGGTGTTGGTCCGGCCAGAAGTGATCTGTCATCACCTCCAGATCTGCGTCGCGATGCAGGGCAGGGAACGGGTCCTGCATCGCACATGACTTCTTCACTGGCACTCCTCTGGCCGAGCTGCTGACCGTAGATGCATCAACCCCAGTTTTTAAAAATGAAATGGGGGTGGAGGCCCCTCCAAAAGTCAAGAATCCCCGCTAAACCCAGGCACACACCCCTGTTAATAAACAGGGGTGTACTCATCCGGGGTCGACATTAGCTGTTTTGATGTTCCCTTCGACACAAATTCCCTGAGATCAATCTCCCAACGCAGGCGCTCTGTCCTGCAGAATCACAATGTCTGAGTCGAGGACAAGGCCATCAATGCCCAAGTGAGCGAAGGTGTGCAGAATCAGCCAACGCATCTTCCAAATTGCGTCCTTCAAATCGTTCGGCCGCACCGCATGCAGTATCGCCTCACCATGTGTCCATGGTCTCATAGCTGCCCCTTTTCAGAGGGTGCCAAAAACAAACTTCTTTTTTTTTCGGAGGCGCTGTGAGCGCCAAGCTGCTTGCCGGGGTGGCCAAACCGTGCAATCGACACTGTGAGGGTGAGATTCATTAGGAACTCGGCCTTTTGTAATTTTGGCACCAGCGGACATCCCATGCACGGGACCTGGACAAATCAACCCTGCGAACCAGGACCTTGCAACACTCACTTTGCCCAGCGCCGTGATTCACAATTTGGCAACCAGGGAAGTCCACCTCGTTTGAGGAACTGGCATGTCCAAGCTGTACAAATCAGGCCTGAAAACGGAGTCTGGGACAGCGTGGTGAGGTAACTTCTTTAAAAGGACGATGTCTTTCCCTGGGAAACACTAAAATTCCATATCGTCAAACTTGTATTATTTGTTTTCAATAGAATTACGAAATACCAAAACATGTAAAAACCAAGAAGAAGAATAAACGCATTTGAAAATAGTTTATGAAAAGATAGTATATGTCCATCCTTATGTCATCTCTGTCTGCCCTATCTTCAAGAATCTTAAGAATGAAGTGATAGACGAGAGAAAGGGAAAGGCCATCCTCTTTTTTAGGGTAAAACCCTGTTTGGGTAGTTTGGAATGGAAACCAACAGAAAAACCACAATTCATATATATATATATACACATATACAGATGTATATATATATATATATATGTATACTTATTTATTTATATACTTATTTATTTATTTAGTTAGTTATTTATTTAGTTATTTATTTATTTATTCTTGGGGTGGCTAAAACTCGGCCCATCGCCTTGAAGCCGTGCTTCCGCATGGCGCGCTTGGCCCCGCGGTCCAGCGCCACGCAGAGGAAGGAGCGCTCGAGCTGCGGGGCGTGGCGCCGCAGGGAGAGCGCCAAGTTCAGCGCCAGCTGGGAGTACCTGGGGACCCGAGCGCAAATGAAACCTCACGGCTTGAGGAACTTCCGGAGGAAGTTCCACAAAATCTCACTCTGCGGGGGGGGAGATCTGGTCTTGAAGGCAAATCTCACGGTGGAACGGAGGCAAACGGGTGTGGCTCAAAATTCAAGAGCTAGGGGTACACAGGTTTTAGTCTTTGGTTCCATTTGCCAAGGGGGCCATTTGGGCACATCTTTTTGAGCCACAGCCAAATCTCACGTTGGAACTTCCGGACAAAAAAACAAAAAAATGCTCTGGGGCGGAGATGTGGTCTTGAGCCCCACTGGCTTTGCCTTTTGGCCGAGCTCCAAGCTCTGCCAAGAGTTTTTTGGGGATTTGGTGTAGCTTTTTTCAGTGCGCAAGGGGCCCGGTTGTCACACCAACTTCCGGGGGGGACGGGGTGCTTCAGGCCCGGGGCGCTTGGCTTCCCCCGTAGTCCAGGTGGCCAGCAGCGGCGAAGCCTTCGCCGCTTTCTTCAGCGCCTTCAGGTCGCCGGGGCGCAGCTGAAGCAGAAACCTAAGCTCGTGGGGGCTGGGAAGGGGGGGAGCTGGGGGAGGGGAAGGGAGGGGAGGGGAGGGGAGGGGATGGGGAGGGGAGGGGAGGGGAGGGGAAGGAGACTGGGGCGAGGGGGAGGGAGCCCAAATAAGCCCAGAACAGGAAGTCAAGGCTGCGAGCTGTGCTTCGGTGCATGGCCCGGAAGTTCAGGCAATGGTGGGGCGACAGCCCCTAGAAACCTCCAAAGCCCAGAAAGCTTTCAGAAGACCTCAGACTATGCACAGTAAAACAATGCAGCCTCAAACAGTCGGCATCTTTGTTGTAAATGAGACCTGTGTACTAAATCATCATGATTCAATCTTAATTCATTCAGCCCTATGCAATGTTGCTCCAAACTGCGTAGGCCCCACCAGAATGGTCTTCGCCCCTGAGGTTGTAGTGCTGTTCACTCCTTTCGGAAACACGCAAACTATAGAAACATTGAATATCTGTATGTGTCAACATCCTTATGATTTCCGCTTAAACCGACCTAGCAAAGGGTCCCCTCCAAAAGATAACGCCCATATTCACTTTGAGCAAGGGAGCTGCTCCTCCTGGGCGTCCTCCCGTGCCGCGCGCGGCGCCGGGGTCTCTGAGCTGGGCGACGGCCGCATCTCCGTCGCAGGGTGGTCATGTACGCGTGCGCGGGTGGCGGCCCAGCGGGTCAGCATCTCGGAGATGGTGACGTTCTCTTCGGCACACATGCTCAAGAAGCGCTCCTTGGCCCACATGCCAATTCGATTCACGGAAACTAGATGCTGGGAAACTTCACTGAAAATCTCTCCTACAGTAGTTGTACAAGGGCATTCCGTCCGCGTTTCACGAACGTGCGCCGGCAAACACTTCCGATGATGCATCTACGATAATCCCAGCTCTCATGCCTCATGGTGAGCTACACTGCCCGCCACCGCCTCTCCATCCTCATCATTGGGTGTCAAAAACTTTAACAACCCAATATCATTGCTTCCCTTTGGGATGAGTCCAACGATGGAGAGAACTCTTATGGAATGTTGAAACCCCCACCACCACCACCCCCAACCACCACCACCACCACCACCACCACCACCACCACCACCACCACCACCACCACCACCACCACCATTCTCCTGAGTTCACAAGCCCCTTCTTTCATCATCCCTGACACGGGGCTAGCCACAATGTCGTTCTTGTGAAACCTGAGTTATCGGGCCCAAAAACAAAACGAATCCAGAAACGCGGACATGCCGACATTCGCAACCAAACGTTACACCCGCGTCACCCGTGGCAACGGCTCCTTGGTCTCCTCTCGCACCCATAAGTACAGCGGCACCAGGTCGGCCAGGGCCGTGCCCAGCGCGAACAGCGGCCAGGCGCATGGCCGAGTCATGCAGGTGCCAAGCGCCCAGTTCTGAGTCAAGCAACGGGAACCTTGCGCGAAGAAGGCTCAAGGAGTGCAGGCTTGAGAGTTGTAAAGCCAAGACTGAACGGTTCATACCCAGGAAACAAAGGAGTCGCCAAGATGATACCAGTTGAAGTGCCCTCGATGGTTTGCAGGCGTAATTCAGGGCACAACAATTCCGTGGACCGTGTGTTCTGTTGACCTAGCTAGAATGGTTCATATGGCCCGGCAACTCCACGAGATCAAGCATTAGCTACTGAAATGGTCAACGTGGGGTTTTGGCGCTGCTCATTCGGACATGTTGGCACTCACTTTCCAAGTGTAGATAGTGCTCTCCGCAGCTTTGGAGAAAAAGGGCTGCTATTTCGACTCCACCAACAGCGAATCAAAGCCAACCCACTCAAAGCAGGATCGTTCCAATCTCAACCACGCGAGACGGCCCGATCGAAAGAAAAGGATGGCCCATGGTTCAAAGCCGTTCAGGACAGCGTTAGCAAGAGGCAATGTTGACGACCCCGAATAAATACACCCCCATTATTTGTATAGGGGGAACAAACCTCCATATTAATAAACAGGATTAAATCCCGGGTCAACATTAAAGGAAAAGAATACTGTACAGTGCTAAGCCGTGCTCCCACGATTGCTGAAAGGTGTCATCTTGTGTCGTGGGAGCATAGCCTAAACAAAACCTTATGGGTCTTTCTTCCAGCCCGAAAACTGAACCAGAATGCGACATGCCCACGCATTTACGAGCTGGTGACTGCTCATACTTGTCCAAAAAAGCTGACACGTTCGACCCCCGTCATGCAAATATCTAATGGGTGTAAGCCTGCTGGAGCAGTTCTCTCGTGCATTTCTCTGCGAAATGTCTGTGCTTCATCTCTCTAGTCGGTTTCTCTGCGCAACTTGTTTTGCCCGTTTTCCTGCCCCGTCTCTCTTTCTCTGTAAGCAACCAAACGTCTGAAACCTGGCAACACTAGCGTTACAAATGACCTGCTAGGGCTTGGAAAAGCACTTTGCGCAAACACCCAAGCTCTCTGGCTGGTTACAGAACATTGCACGCTCCAGTGTAGCACGTCTTCATGGACTGGAGTCACATGCAAGTCTAACCCCGCATGACATCGGCCAAGTATGAGCCGTTGATGAACCGAATCCGCTACAAACAAGCGGGAAGCAGAAAAGAGTTCTCGTTTCCTCAAGGTAACCCACGCAGCCCCAGAGAATGATTCGCGCAGAGGACTCTAGAGACATGTTTTCCCATGACGCAAGCAGGAGTTTCCCGGAGCAAAGGGAAAGCTTACCCTTCGACTTACTCCAGGAATGACACTCTCACGACCCTCAGCAGAAACACTCCACATTGCACATTCCTGGATGGACAAAATCCTGCACCACCTAAGAAACCTTGGAATGATGATTCCCCTGTAAGTACCAACCAACAATGGGTTCAACCATGGTTTCAAAGTGGTGCGAACGGATTTCGTCCATCCACAGTAAGGTTCTTGAAGGGCACTTCACGTGGGAACCCCACAGGACGTGCCCCACAATCGGCAGGCGGCAATGTTCCTCGCCGAGCCCTTCTTTTTCACCGACATTCGGGGGTGTTTGGATGCATGCGGCATGAGAACACCGCGCGCAATTTATCAAGTCAGAAAAAGAATCCATATGGCCATGGGTCAAAATCCAAATCGTACCCCCAGTGAACATCCCAATCCCCACTAGAATAGGTTCTAAAATGGGTGGTGCACCTGCCCCAAAATGGTACCATTGGTTTTGACCCACAGCCATATAGCACCGATGGAGGAAGCTCCTAACACTTGGCAGACAAAGTGTCAACCTGCGGACAACTGTCCCCGCAATGCTTGTCAAAAAAATTATGTCCAAGCTGAGGACTCCATGTGAGAAAGAGCCCAGACACTTGGACAAAAGGCACGCCACAGCTGCACATTGCAAACTCGCCTACATTGGAAACTTCAGGAGATTCCAGGTGCGACACTCTGAGACAGCTGAATAACTTTGCAGCTCAAAATCGGCCACACCGGGCGAATTTGGCCTATCGAAAATTCAGAACGGATTCCCGGAAGCGGCTTAGCCGGCCTTCCTGGCAAGTGTGCCTTTTGGCAGAAGCCCCCAACAAGGAGCTAAAAACCTGGTAAGAGAGCGAGCAGCTCGCTTCGCCGGGCGAGCGAAAATTGCCCCTTCGGGCGGAAAACGCCTAAACCGCAAAATCTTTAATGGGCGCGAGAGCTACGGACTCAGAGGGTCTGGCGGCCTTCATGTGTCTAAACCTGCAGAATCAACGAAAACAACTTCCAGAGCTCCAGCAAATGCCATCGTTCTTACTTTAGGAAGGGGTTTTGGGGGGTTGATCAACATTCCCTTCGGCCCGCAAATGACCATGATGACCATGGGGCACTGTTCCCATGTGGGGAATATCATCCCATGTCGGCCCTCTTGCTCAACCCCCATCTCTCTGCCGAGGCACGGAGAGTTGTCGAAGACATCCTGGATGCTCGTGCCGGTGGGGCGAACAGCCGACAGCACCTCCTCGAACAAGACCTATGCCAAGAGCCCCAAGACTCCACATGGAGTGCTGTCCAACCGCAACCAACCACCAGCTGAGGGGTGACCCCCCCCTTTCACTATTCATACTACATGTTTATGGGGGAATTTCAAGGGGGAATCATGTTCAAGAACCCGGAAGCCCATTTCCCATTCCCCATTGGGCCTCCAGTTTGGTCTCCATGCGCCAGACATCCAGCGCTTTGGCGTTGCCACGCAGCCTCGAAGCGCCTTCGATGAACTCCATAAGCCTCAGTTCAGGTGGAGTTCTCTGGCTGGGGAGGGAACCGGCAATCGACCATTTCGGAGGTTCCCCCATTTTGAGGGGCCGTCTCAAAAAGACATCCTTCCGGGGTGATGTGTACAACGGACACAAAGGAGCTTTGGGTGACAGGGGATCACCTTGAAGAGGAGAAGGTTGCTCCAGACATGGATGGAACCAGTGACCTTCCAAACTTCCAAACAGGGGGCGGTCTCAAGCAAGGCTCGCAAAAGCGTGTCTCCACAATTTCCATGACAACTGGAGCCACTCATCCTTGTGATGACACCGACTCAACGCTTCCACGGAGCCTCACACCTTGCAGCCGCGGCACGTGATTTCTCCATCTCCGTTGTCTAAAAACTCAAAGAGGCTCAACAAGTCATGGTACTCGAGCTCAAGTTGGCTCATCCTGGGCTCATCCTTTCTCTCTGAGCGACGTCTCATGTACTGATGCGCACGGAACAACAATAGTGCCGGAAAATGATCAATACTGCAGTAGGAGCAGGCCAGGCATCACATAAACCTCTCTGATATATGAATATCTACCTGTACATGTGTCCCCGCGAAACTGAGTCCCCTCTTTGCACCCCCGCTGAAGCTGAGATTCAACGCTGGAATTGTCCCGTGCGATTCATGTTGGTGCTTTAATATCCCTACGGTGAACATCGCTGACGCTGAAAAGGTGGCCGCCAAGCAAAGTGAAGCTGAAAACGCGGCTGACGCTAAAATTTGGCGCCTAAATGCATGAAGCTGAAATTCGCGGCTGTGGGGGCCCGGTGCTTGAAGTCTGCCTGTCAACTAGCAATCTCATCTGTTGTTTTTTCCATGTGCGTCTGTTCACTCGATATGCATTAGGCAATAAGCGAACGGCTGAAGTTGAACTTGGATTGACTTTGGAACATAAGTTTGCGTTGAATATGCTTCCCATATTTGATGTTCAATACATGCTATTGAAAATGCTAAATCAATTAAGTCAATTCATACAATGCGAGGCTGCAAAAATCGATGCGCCTGCCACGCAGTCTGTACGCGAGGCTGCAAAAGCGCTGCGCGTGCCATCAACTCTGATCTTGCAAAACACTCCGCGCGTCGTCTAAAACGGGACCGGGGCCGAATGAAATACGATTGTGAGCCGAGAGCGATCCGACCAAGCATCGCACTCAAGCTAGGAGCAGCTTTGGGCAATTTCTCTTCCCCCACACCTGCTCGCATCTCTCTCCTTTTTCTCGCTGGCTTAGTTTTTACCACGGCAGTTCCTTCTTCCTTTGATGATACGTAGCCGAACAAACCATCTACGCCACTTGCACCCACTGCTTTACACCCTGCCTAATCCCCAAAACTGCCCTGTGCAGTTGTGTAGCTGTGTGTGTGTGTGTCGGTGTGTCTGTGTGTGTGTGTGTGTGTGCGTGTCTGTGTGAGTGTGTGTCTGCTCTCCATGGGCTGTCGGTATGTCTGCGTGTGTGTGTGTGTGTGGCCTCTGCGGCCTCCCTGCGCCTAAGTCTCCAAAACTGGATCTTCGGAGACTCCACGAGCTTCGCGAACTCCTGGAAGTTGATGGCCCCATCTCCGGACAAGTTCATGGACTGGAACAGCTTCTTCACCTTCCTGGCTTGGGCGAGAAGTGGCGCAACCTTCAGTGGCGCAGACACCAAAAAAAACAACAACGCGGTTCTAAGGGCTAACTTGTCTATCCCCAAATGCGACATACCCCAAAAAGTTAGTGGTTATACATGGGTTATACAGGTTACGTACCCCAAGAATCCATCCCTTTGCAAGGCCCCTAGGTGGGGGTATGACCATTTGGGGTATGTACTGCAGAACGAGATATCAACCAAGCAATGTTCATCCTTTGTTGACTCCGAAACACTCCTCGTGTACGTATCCACATCCTTCTGTTTCTGCTTGAAGGCAATCTCATCATCTGAACTGGCCGTCTTCATGGTTTGTTGTACAAACACCGCATTCACGACCTGGGCAGTGTACACATTGATTCCGTGCGGCCCCGTTGCTCCCTCCACTCAGCTTGCTACGCGCAGATTAGCTGCAAACCGATCGCTGTATGAAAGGGTTGGAAGAGCAGTGGGTTTCTGCAGTTTGATCCCCGTGTTGCACAAAGGCAGTTGACGATGCGAGCGCCTGCCAATGCAACATGCTCCATGCTGACTAAGCCCTCGGCATTTAAGACTGCAAATCCAAGGACACAGCCTTGGCTGCGTCAAGAAAAGCACGTGGGGTTGTCTTTAAAAGGGGGAACCCCCAAACCAGTGGTTTGCATTTGGCTTCTCTTCAAGGCAAACAAAAAAAGACACACCCACTTGTGTCATGAAAGTGAATGGGGAAGCCATCAAGCAAAAAAAGACTGAAACGTCTACGTGGTTGGGCGAGCAGCGGTACAGCAAGAAGAACACAGAGAACCACTCGCTGACGTTGTCCACAAGCACTCTGCAAGGCGGCCCCCAGTTGGCAAACAACACCTGGCGCTGCGAGGTAAAGCCGAGCAGACCAATGAGACAATGCGCGCGTGTGCGTATGCAAAACCAGAAGCTAGCCCACAACAGAGCCGTCCATCCAGATGCTGCTGAGTTCGAGAACTGGCAAGCAAAAACAAGCAAAACGCCTCGCGAGCGAGCACCTTACGTTCCCTCCCGCCCATCTCCCCTCCTTTTGCGCCTCAAACATGGTGAGGAAGCTGCGCGTGAAGGTGCCGTAATAAAGGTGCACCGCTTGCCTTAAGCCGATCTCCGCGTTGGCGTCCACCAGGTAGTCCCGGCAGAGGATGCTGACCACGATGGCCGCCACGCCCTGCACGAAGGACAAGAGCAGAAAGCTCCAGAAGAGCATGTTACCTGAAATGCCCGGTGTGATTTCCATGGGAAAGGGGAACCCTTACCCAAAAAAGGAAAAGAGGGCACCGTGCTGCGAAACTGGGTGGGCTCTTCAATGGAGTGTTGGCCAATCCGATTTTCGAGCATCCCGATTGGAAAGCCAAGGGGACCAGTTCCTTGCGTAACCCAAAACAAACGAGTACCCTTCCTCCAACTAACAGAAGGCACCTGTGAACAGGTACCTGGAAGATTGACCAATTCCCTGTCAGTCACCATGACAACCAGGGAGGGAGGGTAAAGGCTGAAGGCTTGCCCTTGACCAGCCCAGGTTGCTGCTGGCGAGGAGGCACTTCAGCAGAAGCTGCAGGGATGCAAGCACGCTGTCCATGGAGAACATCCGTAGAGCCCTGGCCAGTTTCGCGATCTTCACCAGCCGGAGGAAGGAAGAGTTGGTGCTGTCCATGGCGTAGGAGGCGATGATCTCTGCCACGCATGCAAGGTTCACCGCAATGTCCACGTAGTTCAACCGCGAGGTCCAGAAGTCTTGCCTGCGCGCTTGATCCCGTGCACTCTTTTACTTGAAAAGCTGTCAGGGCCACCTACGCGCGATTCGACCCTCACAGTCCCTCGCAGACTCGCAGCCTCAGCACCGCCATGCGAATGCCCGCGTCCAAGATGAAAAGCCCCGTGAAGATGTAGTCCCCCAACACATAGACCTGGTCCCAGGAGGAGAGCTCCACGCTGGCCCCGGCCAACAGCAGACCTGTCTGGCTGCCGCTCACCTGAAGCTCCCAAGCCATCCACAGCACGTTGAGGCACAAGGCCGCCGCCAAGATCATCTCGTAGCGCGTGGAGGTCAGGAAGGCCCTCAGGCAGCTACCTCACACCAAATGTCTATACACCAACATGGCTGGCTCCCGGCCAAAAAGGGGAAAAAATGCCGAAAGACGGAATCTGACAAGTTCTGAGGAATTCGGAACTTGCCGATTTTGTTTTCGCTATTTTTGCCGACGCAAGGCCACCTGTACCTTCCTCTTCTTCCTCCTCAATGGTCTCCCAGACATCCAAGACCTGCCGGGCCTTCACCTCTCCGACCTCCTGGCAAGAAAGCTTCTGCAGCCTGGAGATGTTTCACGTGCTTTGGTTGGAAAGAAGAAAGTGATGAAACCAACATCTCTGCTGTCAAAAGCAAACAAAAAGTGTCTCACATCAAAAATCAGTCGTGGAACAGCTAGTGTGGCAACGCAAGTCATCACCCGCTGCAAGGAAGATGTGGACACGGCCCGCACGACTTGCGTAACCATTAGGAGTCTCGCATCCGGCTCAGAGATTCCCCACCGCCAAACTGGAAGAAACCTCCACCCCCCACCCCCCACCCCCTCCTGGTGCTGCTTCATTATGGCTGCCGAGAAGTTCTGCTGGTGCTTCAGCCGCGTGCTGCAAGTGGACATCCGGGACTCCTCCGTCACCATGCGCTCCATGTTGCCCTTCGGGACGCGAAGAACCACGGAGTCCTCCGTGACCATTCGCTCCATGCCGCCCTTTGGCACGCGCAGCACCGCGTTCTCCGTGCGGAGCCGCACCACCTCAGAAAGATAAGAAGCAAGAGAAAGAGGAAAAAATAAGAGAGAAAGAGAAAGAGAAAAGGAAAGAGCAAGAGCGAGCGAGCGAGCGAGTGAGCGAGTGAAAGAGAGAGAGAGAGAGAAGGAAAGGGGGAATCTGAGAATACTGTAGGGCGGTGTTGCCAAAAGCCGAATAAGAAAACCCGGGCGGTGCCTTGTGACGCTTCGAAAGGCAAAGCTCAAAAATACGACATCCAGTTGAATGGAAGTCGCCCCTGGTTCGGCCGCAAGCTTTATATGGCAAGGGTTCACGACAAAAGCTTGCAAGCTCTTCAAGCCCCTTCGGGCATTCTTTGGCTCAAAAAGGAAGATGTTCTTTTTGGGTAAGCGCGAGGACCGAGGCTCCCCTGTCTTTTCTCTCTGGCTCTCAGATACACCCCTTCCAACCACATCTAGCTTCCCTCTTCAGCTTCCCTCCCTTAGCTTCCCCCGCTGGCCTGATCCTCCATCTGTGAGACATTGCTCTGCTGCAGCTCCAAGCTTCTCTGGCACTCCTGCAGCTCCACCGAGTGCTGCAGCACCACCTAAGAGGAACCCAGGAAACTGCCCGGCTAAAAAAAAAACAATGGCGGCGTTAAACCGACAAGGGGAGCCACCTTGGAGGTGGCTCTTCAAGATCAGACCCCTTGGAAACAAGACGGCCAGTGTCCCAAGGTCGGAACCCCTTGCGAGTCAAACAAAGGAAGCCCTTGGGGGTTTGAATGAAACATGCGCTACACCTCAGTCCTTTTTTAACGCCTCTGGCGCCTTCAATCACCTTGCCAAGAGAAGCACATTGCATTGGAGGCCGCGCAAGGGATACGATTGTTTCCTTGACAAATGCCAAGGCTTTGTGGCCTCTTGTCACATCCTTTCTGTTTCGCCATAATTGGGTGGTTTGGTGGTTTGGTGGTTTGGTGGTTTGGTGGTTGGGGGGTAGTTTCCGATTTACGCTCTACAAGGACCAGGGGTTTCAATTCCCAAAGCGCCGGTCTCCAAACCACCAACCTGGGGGTACCTGATCCTCGGGACATCCCAGGGCAAAAAACGAAAGACGCGCTCGCGCTTTGTCCGCGCCTGATCTATCAGCGACTGGAAGGCCTGGGAGATGTGCCTCTTGGCCGCGTCCTCCATGGCCCCCGTCTGAGCAAAGTCAGCTGCGCCAATAACCCGAAGCGTAAGCCCCTCAGCCTGTGCAAGTCCAAGGTGTCTGGGGGTCTGCCATAAGGTGAGTGCTTCTGGAACAATCTAGACATTTGCAAGCTCGGAACACGTTGCACAAAAGCGTGGCGTTGCCAACAGGGAACCCTCATGAGAGTTGGTTCACTGTGGCTGCTGCAAAGGGCGGTGATTTTGTTTGAGAAACCTGCCCAGAATCGCATCAACTGTTGTGGTCGACAAAAAGCCGCCGTGGCCACAGCGCATGATGCACACAGTGTGTGTTTCCATCATGTTTGCCTGCTCAGGTTCATTGGTGCTGCGCTCCGGATAACTCGGAATCCTTGCTGGAAAGCCATAGGTCAAAGCCTAGGGCCTGCCTAGAACTGTTGGTTCCGCGGACAATTGCACGGCCAATCAGAATTCCACTCAGAATGCCTGCAAAACATGTCCCCAGCCACGCCGGCCAACGGGTTCTTGGCTGAAGCAAATAGACTCATATCATGGGTGTGCGCTAGAGGTTTGCACGGCTCAGGGCACAGTGGTGCACCTGGGCCCTGAGACCGAGGATTTGTTCCCCGTTTTAGTCCTCCAGCGCGAACCCACATTCTCATGAACGAATACATTGCTCCAGAGTTTTGAATAGGCGCCGCAATGGCGCAAAAGAACATGACTAGAACTGCGAGCATACCGGGTACGTGGCCGCGCCGCGCAACAGCGCGCAGAGGAGGTCATCCACAAACATTGGCTTTGTGGGGCTGCCACGCCAGAAAGCCATGCAAATGCCCAAGCAGGAAGGCCCGGCGCATTGCCACCAGAAGGCGGAGAAGCGACCTTCAAAAGGACATGCCTGATGGTGGCGCAGTGTCTGTTGGAAAGAGAGCTGCAAAAAATCATGTTCGAGGCGAACTTGAATTTGTTTAGTGGAGGGCCGCACCTGGTATTTACCGGGCAGACTCACGCCTACGACCCGCAAACCCGCGGGTCTGCTCATCAATTTTGGTTGTGGGATGCATCAGATTGGCTTGTGATATGAAAAGTCATCAAAACGACTTGTAAAGGATTGGATTGGCTTCTTCGTTTTTGGGTTGGCTTGTGAGAGGGATTAGATTGGCTTGTGAGGAGCATTAGATTGACTTGTTCGCATCAGATTGGCTTGTGAGAGGGGTCAGATTGACTTGTTATGACTTTCGCAGTTTCGAGCATCAGATTGACTTGTTCGTTGTACAACGAAACTTCATCATTCGTCATTTGTGATCATCATCATCATCATCATCATCATCATCATCATCATCATCATCATCCTTCATCAATCATCGAACATTCGTCATCCGGCATCAGCAGCATCATCATCATCATCATCATCATCATCATCATCATCATCATCATCATCATCATCATCATCCTTCATCAATCATCGAACCTTCGTCATCCGGCATCAGCAGCATCATCATTATCATCATCATCATCATGATCGTCCTCGTCGTCCATCATCCATCATGGATCATCGATCATCTAAAACCATCGTCACCATCATCCATCACCCATCATCATCGTCGTCGTTATCAAACTGCGATCATCGCCATCATCGTCGTCGTCGTCATCCATCATCACCGTCCATCCTCACCGTCATCCATCGTCCACCATCATCAGCATCACTATCATCGTGGTGATCGTCGTCGTTATCGTGAGCATTATCCATCATCATCCTCATCATCTCATCAACAACGTTCATCATCATCCATCATCACCATCATGGCGATCACCAGCATCATCATCATCGTCGCCATCACGGTGATCTTCCGTCATCGATATTTTCGTGGTCATCGCATCGTCGGCGTCATGACCCGTGCAGAGGATGCTGCGATGACAGTCGTGGCATGGATGATCATCATCATCATCTTCATAACGCATCATCACCATCATCATGACCAGCATCATCATGATCCATCCTCATCATTATCATGAACCATCATCGTCATGCATCACCATCATCAATCACCACCATCATCCGTCATCATCATCGACATTGTAGTCTTAGCCTCCTTCTTCCGTCCGTTTCTTCTGCGCTGTTGCAGTGGATGCTACGACGATAGTCGTCATGGCACGGAGGATCATCATTATCATCATCACCATTTTCATTCATCATCGTCATCGTCCGTCATCAAGGTCGCCGTCGAAACCATGCATCATCATCATCATCATCCTCACCATCACCACCATCATCTTCACCTGTCATCATCATCCATCATCAGCGTCCTTCACGATCATACTCATCCATCACCAGCATCCTTCATCATCATCGCATCATTCTCATCATCCTCATCATCATCCATCGTAAGGCACCATCATCATCCAGCATCATCAACCCATCAATCTTCATAGTGACAATCATCATCCGCGTATCGTCATTGTGACATCGCAGCCTTGTCATCATCATTGCGGTCTTCACTTATCTCTCGCGTGTCAACTGATGAAAGTCATGATGGCACGGACTCATCATCATCATCATCATCATCGTCCGTCACGGATCGTCATCATTTCCATCCATGGTAGTGATGTGGTGGAAGATAGAGGACGATGGCGATGATGACGATGATGAGGATGACAAATATCATGGATGATGACGACAATGCGGAAGAAGGTGATGACTATGACGGATGATGACGATGACGACTGATGATGAAAATGATGATGGTGCGTGATGGATGGATGATGATGATGATGGTGATGATGGTGATGATGGTGATGATGACAACGCCCATCTGCGCAGCGAAAAAAATCATTGTTGATAGTGATGACAGCTGATGATGATGATGATGATCGATGATGATCATGGGCCACAGTCAGTCTCATCTCCCACAAGTTGATCGGACCCTTTAGCACACACAACCCTGAAATCTGCATGGCAAGAAGCCGCGACGTTTGCACAAAAGCGCGGATTTGGCTACGAGCGGAGTCTTGCTTTCGGAGTGCGCCACCCTGGCTGAAAAACAGCGCTCGAAGATGTCAGCAAAGTAGTGACGAGGCATCCAGCAGAACCACTGCACTGCCGATCAAGTTCAACAGTCGTTTTTTCTTCAGCCGGCGACAAGCGTAGAGCAAAAAGAACGTTGTTGGCTCGTTTACTGTGGAAGGTGGGCGGCAACTCATTGTCCGGCGACATGGGCTTCCGGCGGATGTTGTTGTCCGCACCGGTGCCGCTGCGGCGTCAGCCGAACGGTTCTGGAAAAGGTCAGGCGTCGGCTCAAGGAAGCCCGCCCAACTCTTGAAGAACCATCGTCTCCGCGTCACGGGAAAGAGCCGCTGTCCAATTGCACGCATGTAGCAGACTCTAAGGTAAAAAATGAAAAAGAGGGAGCTTCGATGCCCGGTCAGACCATACAGCCCGCGTCCATAACCGATAGTAGTAAGTTCCTGGCAAGGAGAACCTCCAATGATGAATACCTCAGCATGCGGCGCAAGGGCCTTCGCTTCTCGCAAAACAAAGGCGCGCATGGGTATGCCATTTGCCGTCAGTCTGGAAGCCTCTAGCCTCTCCTGCAACCTGCCTCATGTGTGAGTCTTGCTCAGCTGCAACCACAAAAAGCGGAGGCTTGCGCAAGGCCGCTTCAACGAGATGACAGTTGAGGAACATCCATCAAATAGGGAAACCAGGCCGTAGGAGTTCTCAACAGCAATTTCATCGCCAACTTGGCCGCATTCCCGACCACGCTTGGACGCGGAAGCAATCGCATTGCACCCCGTTCTCATCCTGGTTGCTACGAAAAACTCGTGTTTCTGAGGCAGCAAAACGCCTAGGCAACCCCTGGTTACCCTTGAGCAGGACTTTGCGGACAGGGGGAACAGCATGTGAAGCACGGACCGCCCGGTCTGCCAAGATAGGAGCCTCATTATCAGAGAAGATCTTCAACCTCCGAAGCCAGGGCATGCGTGGCAATAGTGACGTCACTGGGCATAATGGCTGCCCCCAACAGGATGGGGCTGGCGAACAGCTTCTGGCCCAAACCTCGCCGGCAGCCTCTCCGAGCAAGCCCTTCAGCGTGGACCACATGCTCGGCCCGAGCTTCGTCAGTTTATGATGTGGCCGACCAGCCTGCCGCTCCCATGTTGCAGCTGTGCATAGGCAGCATCAGCAGGAGTAATTGGCATGTGCAGTGGCAATATGGAAAAACACATTGCATGCTGGCAGGGTGTCATGCCAAATACTTGCATGTTGAGGGAGGGAGGGTGGATGGAATAAGGGAGATGGAGGGAAGGGGAAGGGAGGGAGGGAGGGAAGGAGGGAATGGATGGAGGGATGCTAGTTTTGTTTTTGAAAAAAGCACTCGAACTTCAAAGGCGCAATATTTGAATGATCTCAATGGGCACCACTTCATGCAAACCTTTTGGAAAAAAACTTTGGTCCCTTGTTGGTCCTTGGTTGGTCTATTGTTTTGATCCATTGTTTTCACTCAATCAAGGGAAATGTACACTCATTTTTTCATTGGACTGGATCACATTTTTTTACATTCATGAAATATTGGCAGTTGCAAAATGTTTGAAACAGGTCCCAAACAGTCCAAGGAATTCCATAGCATGCATGTCAACATGATCTTGAGGATTTGATAGGGTTTGGTGACTGGCATCCACCAAGTCTGTGTACAATGCAGTGCTAGAATGTGATGAAAGTGGACTGGAGAAAAAACATGGTCGAAAAAGTTGAAAATTTTCAACTTTTTCAACTACATTTTAAATGTAAAGTAAAGGAAAAGGGAGTTGAAAAAGTTGAAAATTTTCAACTTTTTCAACCCTGGTTTTTTCTCTGAAGATACCCCACTTGTTTATCTTGATGTCTGATTGGCATTGATCCTTGAACATTCTGGTATTTTTACATTTGAGAGAATCCTGGATGGATGGATGGAATTTGCACTTTGCTCCATTTAGATTTGCAGCGTTATAGTGCTAGAATATTTTGAGCTTCTCAGCAATGGCTGCAAAGAGGAATGGCCAGAAGGATGC